GGAACCCTTGCGTCAGTCCTCGTTTCCCATGAGCCTCCAGTCAGGTTTACTCCTCAAGGTTTGTTTGTTTCTTTAAATGCCAAACATCCCAAAACTCTTGATTAAAAATGGATGTGAAAAGGTACCACTCTGCACTAGCATGTTGTGTACTTGCATGTTGTGGAGATGCACACAGCTACCCAAGCTGAACTGATCTTTGAGGGATAGTTCAGCATTCAGAACTCACCTGGAGGATGAGTTGAAGAGAATATGGAGGCCATGTCTGCAGATGCGCTGGGAATTTTCCCCAAGACCACTTTTGAAGCTTGCAGAACCCAAGGGCACTATGGGTAAAGGGGAGCCATGCATTGTCTGCCCTGTTTGCAGTCCCTTAGACCACACCATTCCATGGTACGAAGAATATGGTGCTTTATGCCAAGTGTTCAACACTGGGGGGGGGGGGGGAGGAAAACTGGACAGAGAACATCTAGATGGATTTTTACCAACAGCATCTAGGACAGGAGTGGGGAACCTATGATTTTCCAGATGTTGTTAGTCTGCCCCATCAGTTCCAGCCAGCATGGCCAGTGGTCCAAGTTGATGGGAGTTGAGTCCAGCAACATCTGGTGAGCCTCCCCCATGACCTAGACACTAGTATGCATTGTCCAACCAGAAAGTTTATAATTAAACAGATGACTGGATTGGAAGTGGGAGGGAAGAGCAGAGAATGTGACAGTAGCCAAGGTACAGATCTGGCCGGATCCTGGCAGCTATGGCTCCAGCCATTTAGCCCAAGCAGAAATTGCATTGCAACTGTTTCGCAACTGTGAAGTGCTGTATTCCTTGCAGCTTTCCGCTGCCCGAAAACATTTATAGGATGGAGGACAGCTGGCCCTGAAACAAAGATGTCACTCAGCAAACAAAAATATAGCCTGAAAGAATCCATTAAAATGATGAAAATCTTTAATTTTTTTTATTCAGATATAATTGTACGGACACGTGTATATACAAATACAGATCTTATGGGTTTGTTTGTTTCGTTTTTACAATTTCTGTTAAGTTCATATAATGTAAGCATTTCAAGAACAGCACTCAATGAATAAGTGCAAAGAAACTGCAAAAGCAGGGCAGTACAAGCACAGGACCACACTCAGCTGGACTTTCATACCCAGAAGGACACACAATGAGTGGCTTCAATAGGGTGTCAAGAGTAAGTATGGAAAGCGGATTTTGTAGACTCATGGGTAACCTCCAACATGCCAGCATCTATTAAACTGTACAGACAATGGCAGCAAGTCTATTGTAGGGAGATTTGTCTCACATCTGAAAAACTCAGGGGTGAATGCATGGGAAAAACTTGGTAATGCCAAATCAGAAACAGATCTGCCCATTCACTGCTCCAAATTTTAAACAGGGTGGGTGGGGGGAGATATATAAAAAAAGAAACTCGCCAGGGTTACGGAATAGGGAGGAAAAAGAACACATCTGATGCAGGGCATTTGGGAAGTAAGACTGATGAATACACATAATCTGACGGCAGTATGAATGAGTTCCATATTTTTCAAAACTGACACAGCCGCTGCTTTGATAAAGCAATTGATAAATATCAGTTTTTTAAAAAACAAAAAACAAACAACCAAACACGTTCCCTCAACAGCTACTGTTTCTTTCCCTCAGCAGTGGTTATACAGGAAAGAAAATTATTTACATATGGCCCCTCTCAAATTTGTTTGCTTTTTTTTTTTTTGGTGTGAGGGCATGCCAGTCACTGTAAAACGTCACATGTGATGCTGGCAAGGCCACTTTTGAAACAAACCATCCATGAAAAGAATTTTTTTTTAAAGACAAAGAATCAGAAGGAAAACCATCCTCGCAAGAAATAAGAATAAGAATCCCAAAGCCATTGAGAACCAACATGCTAACTCAACCCCAAAGGGGAAAGTTAAGCCTAAACATCACAGGGCTCCAACGTCAGGACATTAACACTGAGGACAAAATATCGAGCATCAAATGTCGCACGGCTCCAAGTCTTGACATCGTGAAATCTTGAGCGTCTGGGTGCATGGGTTTCATGGGTGAGTTCTGAATGGTGACTTGTTGCGACTACTTGCCATTTGGTTCTCAGTCGCCACAGTGAATGCTTCTGTCATATGATCAGTGGGGGTGCGTTTCTTTTATTTAATTTTTAATATCATGAAAGTCTATTTATTTTCTCACTTACAAAAGACATAAGAATCAAATTAATACTTTATTATCAAACACTATATACAACAGAGGCTGCTAATAATACAGAATTTAAAGAACAAAGCATTTTGTTTGTTTTAACTCGTCTTTCCTTTGCCATCCAAGAAAGTACAGTACAAAACAATTATTTCTAAACTAACACGAAATGTTACCTTGTCGTCTATTAAAGGATACACAGTATCCACCAAACAGATCAATCCTTATTTCCCCGCTACCCTTTGCAAAGCCCTCGGGCAAACTGGGAGGGGGTGGCATAGGGCACACTTGTCTGGGCTCAGGGGCTGCCGTAGCGGAATTTGGCTCTTCGGACTTCACGCCGGGGGACAAAGGCTGCTGTAAACTTCCACACTGGCATCTTTTTCAAGATGTCGAAACGACACGCATACACACACCAGAGAGATTCAAAAAACCTTCAGACGTTGCTCGTTTGGCATGATTGAGATTGCCTGATGCCATTAAGTATCCAAAGCAGAGGTCCTGCAAAATTACTGCCCACAAGGATTGCGTTGGATGTTGAGCAGTTCTCAGCAGCTTTCGCTGTAAGGCAGTGCCGCCTTTATTTGTTAGGTTAGCAGTGCACTGTGGCAAAGCAAAGGGCTGAATTCACTGTGGTGAAAACTTCGTGTTGCTAAAAAAAAGCGTGCTCTCGAGACAGAAGTGAGTCCAGTTTTTCATTATTTATAGATGAATTATGGAAAACAGCTATAGTCATCGTTAGGACATCAACTCATGTTTGCAGTTGACATGGAACCATCTCAGGGACATTAAGTGGTGTGCTCCACAGCCATGACTTTTTTCACTATTTCCAAGGTCATTACTTGCTAGCTACCTGTGCACTGCCATTTCTGAGATATATGTGCACCAAGTGCATTATACTGAAGAGAGAAGATTTATTTAATGTAAGGACAATGCCATCTCTCAACATAGGCTGTTAGTGTGCGGTATTAGACATCTCTGTGCTTTCAAACACAGCCCATACTGTATGGTATCAGGCAAGCCCAGAGTGGATCGTGAAATCCTTCAACTTTTTTCTTAAAAAAAAACAACACATCCTGCTTTCCTCTCTTAAACAAACAAACAAACAAAAAACATTCACAAAATGCTGTCCATTTGCATCATGATTTAGTATTAAATTACACTTTTTGTTGTCCTGCGGAATTTAGCGCATTCTTGTAAGGCTTTGTTCTCAAGAGTTTGCGGTAAAAGTCAACTTTCTAAAACAATCACTTCCATGATGCCTATTCAATCTCCTGCAAATCAACGCCTGCCTAAGCCAATGGAAACCCACAAGGAAGGCATTTCCTGGTAAATGGTTTTTATTAGTCCCTTACAAAGTAGTTTTCAGGTGCCTAAGGGTTCAGCCCTGATTCCAACCAAACAAGACAGCACCCCATAATCCTCTTACCACTTTTATCATCTTTAAATAGGACAAGCATATATAATTACTTGGTATATCTAAATAATGCATTTTCTATTCTAGTGGGTTTTCAAAAAAATATTTAGTTCAAGGTCTTTGGGAGTCCACCTACGTATCCTCCTGCTGATAAAGGTATTTCTTCCACTTCTCAACTGTGTTGGAAAGGAAGAGAGCTACAAAACCAATGCCTCAACGTTCACTCCAGAGTTCAACACGCTCTTCCTAACCTTTTCCTTCTCCCTAACCCACAGCCCTCTATGACAAGTATCCTGGTCCCTTTCTGGCAGGAGTTTACTCCAGTGGTTGCCAAACTTTCAAAGGGAGGCAAATCATGAGCACCCTGGAGATTTTGTATCTCTGACCATGTTTTCTCCACCCGGTGCTGCTATCATCCTAGCATGTATCATCACTTAAAGAGTGGTATCGAAGGCTACCGGCTAGTAAATCAGCCTTGGGAAAGGTCACTTTATTCACACAAAGAAGAAGAAAAAGGAACAGAAAATGCCTCTTTGCATTTGAAGAAAAATTATTGTAGCACCATGGTGATCTGTTTCAAAAGAAAAATAATCTGGTGTGCACTATCCACTTAGAGAGATACCAGAGGCACTCACAGCCCAGCGAAGCTTCCTCTATCTGACCTTGCTTGTGTGCTAGCATTCCTCAGTAGCCACTTTCTTCTCCCCTGATGACAAGAGTGTCTGTTGTGGAGCGTAAGTTCTACTGTGAATCATCTTTCAAGGCAGTTGCATACAAAACAGTATCTCTTCCCTATGAAAAGCCTGTTCATTGATAAATTCCTGGAGGAAATGGCATTACGCTATATCTGTTCTCAGTATCTCCCCTCCAGTCCTGACATGGTGATACAGTGCCTTGCATGATCGTCTTACAGCGCTCAACGAGGAGACATAAATATTGTATCGGAGTGAGTAAAGACTCCTCTTGGTTTTCCAAACAAGTTCCTTATCTTCCAAATGACTGCACCTGCTACTAGTCTTCCTTCTCCACATACAGGTGGGCCCAGAGAGCTAACCGAGGCGGTATCTTAAGAGAGGCTGCAGAGAACGTAAGAATCACTAGTGTCAATATTGAAATTTGGCATTTTCATTTGGAGTCCTTTTATTTTAGAAGGGGTCAAGGAAAGCCACAGGGAAGATCAGGAGTGGCAAGAGGGCTAGTTATGCCTCTTCAATTTTTGCTCACAGTTCAGGTTGCAGAGGAAGAAGGGGAGGAGATTGGGGAAGGGAAACAAACCAACATCAGCAAAACCAATATAATGTCCCGTTCTTGGGATGAGCAATTAAGCGGATCTTTGATGTTCCAAGACCCTGATGTTGTCTGTGACAGATTACTATAATATGTGCTATAACGTCAAAAGCATTGCCAGGAGGAACAGGAGGGTTGCCAAAAGCCGACTGGATATCCTTGGTCTCTGTGCTGCGTTCTCACCACGGGACGGCTCAGCAGACTCATGTACGGTATCATCTGTTCAAATGGGGGGGGGGAGAACACACAAATTCTAATGAAGCATTGCATCTTTAATGAGCCTCGAGATTACAGCTCCAGCATTTCAGTACAATACAGAAAATCAGATTTTGTACTGTGTGGGGCTTTAAAAACCACAACACCCCATCATTTATACACATGTGATGCACATTCAACAAACATTTCTCTCTCTATCAAAGTGAGCAAAAAGCTGCTAGCTGAAATACCGGGCATGTGTTCAATTCCTGGCATAGTCTTGTGCATTAATATCTCTGTCCCAGTTGCATTACCCCCAAATCAGCATGTGCTTCAACTGTATGTTACCATTCATACAACACTTGTTCTCCACGGCACAATTAGTAGACTGCATTTTATTGGAAGGCTAGGCTTATTGTGTGGAGATGACAATTCTGTTAGTTTTACCCTTTAAAAAGCTCAGGAGATGGGAAGTGCATAACTACTGGTGCATGTTAGAGAAATCCTAAGTACCACAATAGTGGAACAAGTCAGGTGGCCTACGTGAAAGTATCGACGTGTCATAGCGCAGTGGCTGAGCTTGTGGCTTTGCATGGGTTATGTCCCAGGTTCAACCCAGACAGGACTAGAAAAGACTTCTGTCTAAAATCCTGGACAGTTGTTGCCAATTGGTGTAGACCAGCCTCTTCCAACCTTGGGTCCCCAGATATTGTTGGACTTAAACTTCCATCATCCATAGCTAGCAGGACCAAGGATTGGGGAGCCAAGGTTGGGAAAAGCTGGTGTAGACGATACTGAGCAAGACTGATTTATACTAATTAGCTTCTATTTGCACTGAAGCTTTTAACCCTGTAAGTATTCATATAGAAAAGAACTAAAAACAGAAAAGGCCTGTAAAGGATGCAGTTGTGTGTGCGACTTTTAAGTGTACTGAATTTGTGGTTTGTAATATTAACTCTAATGGAGTTGTGATTCTAATTCTAAAACTACTGATGCTAAATAGTTATGAGCAAATTTGTTTTTCCAGAATCATAGCATGCCTATTTGAAAGCTTTAGATTAACACACTGTACGTTACTCAACACCTGAAGGCAGCCCTGGTTAGTGAAGTTTGATGTTTTATTGTGTTTTTACTATTTTGCTGGGAGCTGCCCAGAATGGCTGGGGAAAACCAGCCAGATGGGGGTATAAATAAAATTATTATTATTATTATTATTATTATTATTATTATTATTAACAAGCTCAGTGGGTCTAAAAAATCAAATTGGGTTTTCACTGACGAACATAGCTTTAATTGTCAAATATTTGGACAGTGATACTGACATTATCAGGGTCACTATATGCAATGGAAAATGTTAAAGGGCTGATAAAAACCTCCACCACTGATTTTTGCTGAATACCAGAATGGAATTAATACAATTTTTGGTGAATTACAGCTAATGAAAAATAACCAACATTAAAACTTTGAGGAAAGCCAAGACCTATTAGTGGTGAAACAGGTAGAGCAGAATATTCTATTTCTCTTTTGAACACATCTCAATGATATCACAAAAAGTCAGATGCAATTTCAGGGTACATATCAGCTATTCTTAACAGAGAAAATATTAGTCATGTTAATTTTTATTGAATATGTCAGACATACTAGTTGGATCAGTTTATGGTGTCAGAAAAATGTTCAGATTCGAAACAGTCTCTATACTGTATATGATACATCAGGCTAAATTTTTAAAGCAAGTTTTATGAACTTGCATCCCTGAGTAAAATCCCCAGTATGGTAGAAGAACTTTTAATTTTTTTCCCAAATACTTAACACATTCTGAACTGGCTCATAAGTTACTTAAAAACTCAAAGTGCATTCATTTGTTGATTCATCTGAATTAAGCTAGCAAAAGCAAGGCACTGGTTTCAACTCCAATGCTTAAAATCTCACTTTAGTCATAAAACAGATCCTGAATGCATGAGTTTATTTATTGATGTATCACGAACATTTAAGCCCTGCTTTTCTGTTTTAAAAAAGATGAAAACAAGACAATAGAAACATAATAAAATACAAAATTAACGGCAGGTAAAAGACAAAGATAAGAATGGCAGATGAAACAATTTACAAATAACCACAATGGGAAGATTAAGAACAATTTACAAAAACCACAATGGGAATATTAAAAAACAACAACCAAAAACTTAGTGGGTCAAATGACAGCTGCAAGAGAGAGGTCTTCGCCCACTGGTAGCAGAAAAGAGGCAGATTCACTCTTGCTAGAGAGTATCAGAACCTCAGAGATGCCATCTTGAAGGTTCTCTCTTGCATGCTGGCTAAATGCAACACAGATTTGGGTTGGATGGGGAATAGTTTTTCTCCAGGTAACCTTAATGAATGGGCAGACTCAAATGGAATCACTTTTAAACATCCTGGTCCTTATGTTCTTTTATGGGGTCTTATTGGAGCCCTCACATTTTTAATATTGTATGGGCCCACCAAGATTATCTGCTTCAAAGCTTCTCCAGGAAACCCCTAGCACCTAGAAGTACTAATTCACATTAGAGAATGAGAGCTGATGATGTCTTCTTCAATGTACTGCCACATCCTACATTTTAGGAGGCAGAATGAAGTCAAGTTGCCCATCTTGTCTTAATGATTTATTAGAGAGCTAAACAGAGATAAACCATGAATTTAAACACAATGGTAGCATGTTATTGTTGATTAAACTGCTGGTGTAGACCCTCTCTGAAATTACTGCCCTAGAAATAAAGTTTAAAATGTTTACTTTGTGAATTATGAGTTTCAACTATTCAGTTTCCTCCTTATTTTTGATATGGTACAAAGTGTATGGAACCATAAATTAGATGTACTTCCAATTATTAAGCAATGATGGGTAGGTAAACAAGGTGGATGCCCAAGTAATATCTATTACTGTGGGAACAACCAACTTTGGAAGTCAGGTGGGTGGCTGCCAGCTTTTTAGGTTCATTTCAAACCCATACAATGTTATTTTTTGGGTGCAATAAAATTTCAGTTGCCAAAGTTTCAGTTGGCATTAAATTCCTGGAAGATTGCTGTATACAATTACTGGTTGATGTTATTAAATTGGCTGCTGCTCTTATTTTTATTTATTCATTTTAAATCTTATTTTAATTGGAATGGGCTGATTTTAACTAATTTTTGTTTAAGTTACTTTGCAGGAATGGTGGGGGAAAATATAAAAGAAAAAATTTGACTGCTGGGCAACTGCCTTTGTCCCCACCCCAAACGTAAAAGACAAAAGGAGAGCACACAAACCAGACATGTACACTACAATACTAGCATGTTAGTACACAGTTTAGACAGCATGCAACAAAACTCAGTGGGACTGTCCCTGTTAATGAAGCAGCATGTTAATAGCAAACTGTTAGTGAGCTGGGAATTAATATCAAATATTTTCTCAGGCAACCTTGTGAAAATACTCTGTGAATGGGAGCTGGCCCTGCTCCAGATCTCTGTACATGCTGCAATGTGGCTTCTCCATTAACTTCAAAGTTGTTGTTGTTGCCCTATACCGGCAACAGGGATGCAGAGGTGGAGCTACCTTGTCATCAAAGGTGGGAGGAAGGCTTTGATTGTATGAAAACTTTCTCATGCAAAAGAAGCCTCTGCGTCAGCGTAAATGTGCTTTTCATTTAGGCATCTCCCTGCACCACCTACTCTTCTTCACTCTACCAACATTTTGCATTGTGTTTAGATACCACACGCTAATGACTCATTAACATGGTTTCGCTGCTCTTCTGCAAAACAGATTCCTAGGCATTTTAGGATCTTCATGCTCAGAAGAGGAACATTCTCACTGATAAAACTGACAATGATACGCAACTGTTCTAGACTTTTATGGAAACTGAACTTCTTGCATAAGTATTTTGCCTTTATCGATACTGAGAAGTGTGTGTTGGAACTGGTTTGATTTTGCTTTGTTATAACACATTTGTGTCTAACGTAGTATCTTAATCATAATGCCTTGCAATTGAGCAGCTGCCATAGTACATCTGGGGCCGCCTATGTGCTTAAGTTTCAAACAGTTGATAAATTCCAGCCGAAGGAACTTCCATTATGGAAAAATGACATCTAAAACAGGATAAAAGCATTTTTAAAAGTATTTAAATTCTCATTTGTGAGTGCAAGTAGTAGTCTTTTTAAATAAATGCTTTAAATATAAGGTGGACAGTAGCCAGCCAACACAAAGGTTTTGGCTGTAAGAGTGAAACAACAGCAACACCCTGATATACCAGCGTGATGAAAACCAATGTCACCTGTGTCCTGTGTCAGGAGTTAAATGCACTATAATTACTCTGCATTGATAAACAGACTTCGGCAAATTTGTCAGGATAATGATGGCAAGGGGTCCTTTCTCCTCTGGTGAGTGAATGAGGTGGTAATGAAGCTTTTAGGTTCTACCTATTGTTCACAATGGATTAGCTCATATTCAAAAGCTGAAAGGATAGATAAATGCATGTTCAGCTACTTTAAAACTGTTAAGAAAAAATGGAAAATGTAGAGAACTCAGATTAAAAACAAGGCTCAGATAACGGAAGGTGGAGCTTGATTCTCTCATTCTTCTCTATGAAGTCATTGAGACAACTGAAAAGTCCCGTCCCCCCACTGAATTTCTACTCTCTGCTAGCACAGGGGTAGAGAACCATTGGGCTCCAGGCAAAATTAGGTCTGTCATGTGCCCCAATTTGGCCTGTGAGGCTGTTTTCCCTAACCCATGCCCACTTGCCACACAACAGACATCATATGTGATGTCAGGTGTGTGGCAGTTAGATATCCAGCAGTCAATGAATAATTTGGAGCCTTAAAATGCACTCGAAAGTGAAAGATAAATAACTTTTCATTCACCCTTTTAAAAAAGTTAATATATGTTTCAATACTGATAAATGTGTATGTACATTACTGTGGTGTCATAGTAGGACATGGTTTGTAGGACCTAATGCTTGCTACCAATCAAGGCTTGTGGTAGCTTGTACAAATGAGACATAATTTGTAGATATGTTGATCAGACTGAACATAGCTCGTTACGTTGTAATTTGAGGGGGCAGAGCTTAAAAGGAAATTTACCAAAGCGCAGAGCATCAGCAAATATGCTTTTCAGCTACTAAAATAATTTTGGAATGTGACACAGTGGTGCGGGGTGGGGATTATATTATTATTTTTCCTTTGAGGTTTTTGGGAAATATATAAAGCCATCTTTCAAAAGAATGTGATTTTTGATAAGTTCTGTTGCAATGCTCGTGCTCTGCTACTAGGTGTCACTATAGAGCTGTTTGTGCGCTTGAGTCAATGCAGACCTAAGCCTTTCCAAACTCCTTCTTGTGTATAAAATCCATTTTCTTCTTTAATCACGGTTAAAGCTGACTTCAGCATCAGATTTAAACATGGAGAAGCTGCTTAGCAGACCATGGTTAAGAGATATTCTAGTTAGCATCAACTGTGGTAAAACAACAACAGAGAATTCACATGCAAGGAGCAATGGCTGGAAGGAAAATGTGCAATTCCATGGGCCACTTCTAATCTCTTAACAATGATTAAGTGACCGGTGTGTTATATCTGCACTGGCTCTTAGAGACAAATCAGTAATAGAACATACAGCACAAAATAGTTGTCCCTTGCAAACAGTTGCCTCTTCATTAACTATCTGTGATAGGGACCAATAAAACTTCCTAGTTCCTTAGGATAAGACTATGTTTCTTTTACAGGGCAAGAGTATACTCAAGTATGGTAGAATAAATTTTCCACCCCACAGCCTGGAATACAAATACAATTATCAACTAGCCATATAGGCTCACTCTAAGATTCTGTATTTAATGGATAATGATTAAAATCTCTCATGTAAAAGCAATGTCCACAGGCACGTTCATGTTCAGTAGACAGTTTAGCTTTCAAAAGTTCTTTAATATTTTCACTATAAAAAGAGAACTGAAAAAAATAGTGTTGAGGTAACTGATTACAGATGGGATTGCAAAAAAAATGTGTTTGCAAGTAATTATTTGAAAAAAAGAGTTTACATATATTTAGTTGGCAGAGTGCATATATAAATCCATGCACACATAAAACATCTATAGAGATGCATATTTTAATGAGCTCCAGCTATAATTATGTACATTGGTTTCAATGGGGACAGTTCTGTTTAGGCTTAACTCAATCCCATTGAATCAAAGAAATTTAAAAACATTTAATTAACAAGATTGCACTCTAAATTTACAGAGCAAAACTTCCAAGTGTATGTATATCTTATTCATATTTATGAAAGCATTTGTACTGCAGGCAGTCTTTTAAAGCATACAGATATATTCCCATCGAGATCAGCCTGAATAGTAATACTCATTTGCTCAAGGATCTTTATGAACACTTGTAGACAAGTCTTTCACATATGCTATTAGTTTAAAGGTACAGAATGATATACAGCCATTGTTCTCATTTTAAAGCCTGAAATAATTTTGATTTTAACCAGTAGAACTTATTGTATATTTGTTCTACCATATAGATCAAAACGTGACACTTTTGGAAAGGTAGCTTTATTAAATTTATAAGATTCTGTCCACCCATTGGACAACTGACCTATCAATGATGTTATGGTCAATTGCTTGTTGTGGGCAGGGAAACCACTGCTTTAAATGCTTCTAAATACATAGATGTGTAAACATGTAAACAATATCGAAAGTATATAAACACACACACACACACATTTGCTCTCTTAATTATTTATGTCCTGAATGGATACTGTGGTGTTGCGGCAACTTACTGCAAAAATGGGGTGGGAATGGGGACAGAGGAACTGCTATTTTTTAAAAAATTGGGATGCCATGTTTGAGTAAATAATTTGTCATGGAAAAAGCATACTTTGCCTCCCATCCATTGGACAAGAATACTAGCGCTAGCAAATGAGAAACACCATAAACAATATTAGCATTGCGGGAAATGAGTAAAAGCAGAGTCATTTTACCATGCAAACTATGCAGAGAGAAAGAAGGGAAGAGAAGCAGGCGCACCAGAGGATAGAGGCATTTGTTAAAAGAGATTCTCTAAGCATACTAACCTGCTGGTTCTAATGAATTTTCTACTTTGTCGTTAACATCGAAAACACGGTCATGAACACCTATAGTTTTCATACAGTTGTCTATAACAAAAATAGAGATAACAGCCAAATATGTTAGTGAGACACCCTTAAATCCCCCATTTTCCTTTTTGTTGTTGTTGTTGCTCTATGTGATTTCTATTTCTATTTCTATTATATGTACGTATCTCTTAGTTGTGGCATACTTCCAAATGCCACAATAATTGTCTTTTTGTACAACAGTCTAAGAAACAACAAGTTAGCAACTGCTGTGTACTTGAAACAAATAAGAGTAAAAGCTTTGTGAAAAATGATAAAAAAGATATGGTGAAAACAAAAACAAAAAAGCCGCTATATAGAACAGATACCACACAGGATTCAAGAGTAAAAAAAGAAGTTTTTACTGCTGTTTAACAGACCAAACAAAGCATGTGCTATTAAGCCACCCTCTAAGCAAGATCTAAATAACTTACTTGCAGGCCGTACAAAGACTTTCAGCTTTAGACAGGACCTCCTCCCATTATCAGGGATTGCAGATGCTGTTGAAGAGAAGGGGGAGGAAGCATAGTTACTCTTTGTCCTACAGACATAATGTAGTACATTCTTCTTTTCCTAAGATAACACATCTGCAGCACATTAAAAAAGGAAGAAAGTAGATGATATGGGGCAGTCTGAATAGCAATAAACTGAAGCTTCAAGGCCACGCCACTGCTCTTTTTGCAAAAGAAAGAGTGGCATAACAACTGTGCAAAGTAAGAAGCCACAGAACCCACCCACCAGACTCTACCCTTGAACCCCAATAAGACTCAGGCCAACAACAACAACCACAGCAACAGCAGAAGCAGCAGCAGCAACAACAACAACAACCCAGCTTGCTTCTACAAATTGGTTCTAAGAGCCAGTCTGCATGGCCACTTTTGATGTAGTAAGGTGGATGCAGAAAATCATTTTCACATGCTAACATACTAAATAATAACTACCTGAAAGCTGCAGTGACTTAAAAATTCTAATGGGAATCATTTTTTTCTGCTGCTACTGAGTATATTTTTCAAGAACTACTGGTATGGGGCTGGATGAATGGAAGAACTCCTTCCATTCACAGAAGGGACTGCAATCTATTCCAGCGGAGCCTCTTCCTGGCTGAATTTAATATACAGTGGTACCTCGGGTTAAGAAATTAATTAGTTTCAGAGGTCTGTTCTTAACCTGAAACTGTTCTTAACCTGAAGCACCACTTTAGCTAATGGGGCCTCCCACTACCACCGTGCCACCAGAGCACGCTTTGTGTTCTCATCCTGAAGCAAAGTTCTTAACCCGAGGTACTATTTCTGGGTTAGCGGAGTCTGTAACCTGAAGTGTATGTAACCTGAAGCATATGTAACCCAAGGTACCACTGTACTCCTTCTTCCGCCAGAATTCCCCCCGCCCCATGCTCTCTCCCACACTGTTACAAGGAGTTCTCCGACCCTCCAGAGAGAGGTGCCACAGTGAGAAGGAGACCTAGACAAAGTATTTCTCCTCAAACAGCAGGAACACACTGAGATTGGAGTTCAGGTCACAGGAGCTCTGTATCCAAGAAACACCATGATCCAAATAAGTGTAAAATATGTCTGCACTGTGGCAAAGAGATGCAAAAGCCAGGATGAACTTGCCCTGAACTTTGGGCTGAGGCTTGCACTAAAATGGTGTGCGTTGCCACAGAGCAAATAGTTACTTCCACTGGGGCTGGGAATGTAGTACAGACATCTGGCCCCACTTGTGCGCAATCAACTCTCGTACGACTGCATATACGCGTTGCACCAGGAAATCAATCAATCAATCAATCAATCAATCAATCAATCAATCCTAAGCTGAAATGGCTAAAGAGAGCTAGAAAATCCTTGTAGCTCACAAGGATACCTTCCCCAGAGTCAGAACAGGATGCCAGTAAGCCAAAGGTCCAGGCTCCAAAATGGCACATGGGAGCTCTTGCTGCTGCTGCTGTGCTACCCCGCTCAACAGCTGTTCGGCTGGAATCTGTATGTACTGCAGTAGGCTCCCCACTTACTCTCATTTTGCTTATGTGGGGTGGGGGCTGGAACGTAACCCCCACATAAGTGGGGAGTCACCTGTATTAAGAAAAGCCAGTTAACTGTTGAAGATTCTGATTATAAAGTTACTAAAACTGTGGTCCTTCTTCACCTCAATAAAAGTGTTTCATTTCTTCATTACTGGTTCTAGGGGGTAATCATGTGATGTCGTTTAAACACTGGAAACTGCTACATTTATGAAATTCCTGCTTTCAGCAAATCACGAATCTGCTTTCAGGAATCATGAACTGCTAATACAGTGGTACCTCGGGTTAAGTACTTAATTCATTCCGGAGGTCCGTACTTAACCTGAAACTGTTCTTAACCTGAAGCACCACTTTAGCTAATGAGGCCTCCTGCTGCCGCCACGCCGCCAGAGCCCGATTTCTGTTTTTATCCTGAAGCAAAGTTCTTAACCTGAAGCACTATTTCTGGCTTAGTGGAGTGTGTAACCTGAAGCATATGTAACCTGAAGCGTGTGTAACCCGAGGTACCACTGTAATTATATGCATTGATGTGGAAATTGGTTTGCCTCTAAATTAACGCATGAGGTAGGTCATACGACTCATTGAGTGGTCCAAATGTGCACGTTTTTAGTCATATGACCATGCACCACAGGGAAATGGAATCATGGTTTGTAGCACATCCAGATGTCAGTCTGTCCACCAACAGGTATATTATTATTTGAGGATATAACACTGGATGAAGATAAGTGTCGTACTGATTGTGCTACATAATTAACCGCTGCTGTTGATTTTATAATGCTGTAAAGAAATGCAGTAAATGAAAGGAGAAAAGCCCAGGTGAGTGAAGAGCTTGGTGGTGGGTATTATGAAAACAATCCATTTGTTTGATTATGGATGCTGCAAAGAATCCAACTGCCCTGTACTAGACAGCTGGCTTGGAGAGGGTTCGGCAGACAGCGCCCACGAGACTGGTGCTAAAAAAAGGCCTTTGTGATAAGGCGCTGGTAAAAGGCACCGAGGGATAGTATTTGTGACAGACTTGAACTGGAGCTCGATGACAAAAAGAGATTAGTGGTTTGTGTACACAGCCAGCCAATAACCAACACACTAAGCCTCAAGGTAAGTGGGGCTTATAGGGACTTTGGGAAGACTTGCTTAAAAAAATACGTGTGGCTTTATTAAGCAAGTGTTCTTGTTCCAGAGCATATTCCAAGTGCTTCCACGATCTCAGAAGATGCTAACTTTGATAATTTTGTTTTCATTGAGCATGCATGATGCCCTTATTCAATCTGCTGCTCCTTTGTATAGTTGATTATAGGTAGACATTAATTTACTGCATCTTCATTATTGATATATGCAGATGTAGACGGTAAAAGAATTATGAACCGGCTCCTTCAGACTTTGAGTCATTGTTTCCAAGGCATATTTTCTGGGGGGAAGTGGCAAGTTCAAGGAGGGAAGGGAGGAACACAAGAGAAAGAGGGGGTGGCAGTTCAAATAGAGTAAGCCAGCACTTGTTAGAAGTGCCTGCCTACCTCTTTTAATCACAAAACAAAACTGAACAGCAATGATGCTTTCCTGCTCTGCCTGGTACTCACTGACAAGCAGTTAAGAAGTGCTAACAGCTGGCTTGGCCGTAGGCTCTCACTAAATCAAAGTTGGTAAAAAAAACAACCAGCAACCCTCTCTCTACTGACATTTACAGTAACTGATGTGTTACAGGGCACTGCATTGCACTCTGTAGGGGCATCCAGGAAACCGTGTCCTTCCTGTGGTCCCTGATGAATATACAAATCCTTCTCAAGACAGGACAGGATGCTTAACAAAATCGGAATACTGTATTCCTTACCTAACAAGCAAATTTGCTTGCCCTGTTAGCCTAAGCAAAAATGAGTATTTGATTATTTCCTGCTCCATCCAGACTTTTAATTGATTTTTACAAATGACAGCCTACATACTCAAAGGCAGGATGTCAGTTTTATGCTCTTACTTTGGAAGCTATTATTTGCCTTTGCAAAATAAAGGCAGCATGGATTTTGCTATCCTACGGCCAAAAAATACCTGGTGTATTTTTTCCTCTAATAAAACAGAAAGGCAATCGTTTCCATCTGCTCTCTTTATGATTATAACCAGTTTTACCACAACTAAAGGGAGAAAATGCACAAACTGCTGACAGATTAGTGCTTATATGGTAGCTTTGCCTCTGCATATCATGGGATAGTTCTACTCTTTCATGCCCAAATACTAGTTTTGCATTCATTCACACACTCCTGACGAGCTCAGTGTTTGTTTGTTTGTTTGTTTGTTTGTTTGTTTGTTACTACTTTTCACAGAGTGTATCCCCAAGAATAAATGCAGACCCCTTTCACTCTGAATGATGTCAGGTACCAAGAATAAGATTGATATCTCTTTAGTAACTTGAGCAGGGTGATTTTGAGTTTCTTGCTTGCTTTGTTCTTCTTTTACTTTGAAACAAAGCTACAATAATTGCATTTAAAATGCATTAAGCAATCCACAAAAATTAAACCACTACCAGGCATTGCTAATCCACATTCCAAAATACTAGCAGATGCTAAACTTTTCTAATCAGAAAAACAGTATCTTGACAAATTAACTGATCTCTACCTTTATTAAGTATTCAGAACCTGAGCAAGCACTGATTCCGTCTATGAACCCTTACTGATTAGTGAATTCAAGGTACATCTGCAATCAGGGGTGCTAACACGGATCTTCTGCATGTCAATTTAGCCAGACACCTCACCCTCAAAATAAAGTATAAATGTGCACATGCTAATTTAAAGACATATGCAAATTTAGAAACAATGAAATACAAAGTGGCTACACACAAGCAATCAGATGTCTTAAAAGACAGAATGCCATCAATGGAAGCTTTCACCATAATTGTCTTTCCATGCTAAAAAGCCTTAATCTGTTGAACTCCTGCCTGCCACACAGCTGTTATCACAGAAGAGCCCTGCTCTCCCACAATGCCAACCCTAAATCATGCAAAGAACTGAGGTTTTGTTAATTGCAAACCAGTTATGTTACTGAACAGCTTTCATCAAATTGATCTTAGGCTAACAACCTACATTCAATACAATACCAGACATGATATTTCAGGTAGGATGGGGCTGGTCAGAGTCAAAGCAGATTTAAGATGTTCAGTCAAGGCTCAAATGCCCATGCATTGATAAACAGTTTAAAAGCAAGGAGCTAATACTATAGCAAACAGTCTTTCTTTTTTTCTTTCTTTCTTTCTTTCTTTCTTTCTTTCTTTCTTTCTTTCTTTCTTTCTTCTTTTTGAAATAACAATAATTTGACTCTTTGACATGGATATACCTATTTAAGTCCCCCAATTCCCTCTCCTCAACAGGCAAGAAAGCAATTAATCACACCACACCCTTTCCCCATTGTGCTTCCTGAATCACACTTTCTCAAGTACAATGTTGCACACACCCACAATATGGGTATATTAATGGTGCACTTTATTTACATTTGCATTGGCAAGAAAAATGTTTATTGTTTACAAGGGGGGGGGATACACTTCTTGCATGAAATTAAATTGGAGTTAGAAAGAACACACAGGGGGATTCAACTAATGAGTTTCAGCAGCAGCAGCCCTGTGCAAAAACTTCCCCTTTCAATGGGGCTTTCCCCCTCCCTTCTCCCTGTGTCACCCTCTCAATTGATTTTGCAAGGGCTCAGGAGAACCCCTGGAACAACATGTGGGGGGAAGGAGGGAAGGATTGATCCATCTGGCAAGCCAGCATGCTTGCATCAATGGATCAATCGCCTTAGCATGGCATTCAATTCCTTTCATGAATTCCTGTCTCTTGTTGCTACCTTTTGCCTTGGGCTGCATACACCCAGTCACACTAAAATCCTGATTTCTCAAGTTTTTTTTTTTACAACAATCATTTTTCTACAAGAGAAAACAAGAAAAAGAACTTTAGGGTGAATCAAGATTTCCGTTCCCATTGTCTGGAAAAGGGCTATCTGGTTCTTCCGAAGCTACTTTTTAAATCTTCCCTAGTTCATATAGAAAGGCGATGGCAAACCTAGATAGATAGATAGACCTAGATAACCTAGATAGATAGATTCTTAAGGAAATCAGCCCTGAGTGCTCACTGGAAGGACAGATCCTGAAGCTGAGGCTCCAATACTTTGGCCACCTCATGAGAAGAGAAGACTCCCTGGAATAGACCCTGATGTTGGGAAAGATGGAGGGCACAAGAAGAAGGGGATGACAGAGGACGAGATGGTTGACAGTTTTCTTGAAGCTACAAACATGAGTCTGACCAAACTGCGGGAGGCAGTGGAAGACAGGAGTGCCTGGCGTGCTCTGGTCCATGGGGTCACGAAGAGTCGGACACGACTAAACGACTAAACAACAACAACAACAGTTCATATAGAATAATAAAATTGTAGACCTGGAAGGGGCCCAGAGAATCATCCAGTTCAGCAGGCCTATCTCCAACTGAAAACATTAACTATCAGTCGCTATATTTGACAAGCCTAATGAGTAATAACGGAGACTTTCTTTTGACTAAGCTGGATGGGGGAAATCAGCTCTATTGAAACTCTGTAAAACTAGCATAGGTACAAAATAGAAGTAGTGTCTTTCTGGCCTTTTAGGCACTAGCAAAGCTAGTGATGAAGATAAGTGGATGTCAAGGGATAGTCAGAGATATTTTTCTGCCCCTCTGTATAACTTGCATCTGCTTAGAAGATAATAAGTACAGCACCTGCTCTTAAACAGCACATACTGTATTTGCTTAAGCAGTTTCCTCATTCCAAGATAACTTGCTTGCAAGAAACTTTGAGCAACACTTTCTTACTCTTTTGTATACCCAGGTCCTATTGTAAGAATGTTTCGTGAAGAGAGATCATACTAAGTTACTCTTCTGTGAAACACTGGCACAGACAATTCAATTTGTTCATTATGTTGTTAATCATTACTGTATATTGCTTACTGAATTCTGCTTTTGTCTTTTCTTTGTACATCTGCTGCAAACAATTTGCACTACTGAACAGCTAATCTTAAGGGCTCCCTATTATTCCCTGTTTGGTGTAGTGTCACAGGCCAGATGTAAACCCAACGTGTTGAATGGTGAAACTGACCTAGAAGCACCTGCTTCATCTTAAAATAACCATGCAGAATTATTAGCTCCATTAGGATGTCATTCCATGCTGGGAGAGTGAAATCTGAACCATGAGATTTTTCTCTCTCTTGTCATTCTAAAAAATAGCTGTCTACAAGACTGGAATAGATACCCAGAAGTCACAAAAACCAGTCAAGCGGTCCTAGTCAGTCTGCAAACTTTGAAGGCGCAAACACAAGAACAGAGCCAACTCTATCCCACTACAAGCAAGTCTGAAAAGGATGTTCAGGCAGTTTTCTGCCTAAGTTATAACGACAAGCTCTTTGGGGTGTGTGAAAAAAGTATTTATAGCAATGATTTGCCTTTAGCCATTTCAAGCACAATACCATTGACATTAGTCAAATCCAAGATCCACATAACCTTATATAACCCTCAAATCTTAATTCTGATAGCCAGAAGCACCAAAAAATTTCCAATACTCTGTGTCAGCCCCAGAGATTTGGGAAGTTTCATTTTTAAGAAGCGCCATCTGCTTCCTCCTTTGTAAAGAAATGAGTTTGTGTGGGAGCATTAAAAATGCAGTTTCCCATTATGTTTGCCATGGGCAATATTTCTCAATTTGTGGGAGTCAAAAGAAAAGAGAGCCTATTAGTTGTTAGCAGAGCTGAGCCTTTCCCCTGTAGGATTTAGTGTGATTTACAGTACAACACAAATGTATGTAGATTAGCCAGGTAAATGCAGTATTAAGCATTAATATTCTTCTCACAATGCAAACTGAAAAAAGTTTCACATTTACATAGACACTATTGAAAAGGTCTACGGAAATTTAATGAACCAACAAAAAGTAAGTATGAGTATGATACACTTACAAAAGGAATTCTGTACATGGAAACTATTTTTTACAAAATTAAAAATCGTAAGGCAGAGTATTTCTACCCACAAAGAAAGCTCCATCCCTCAGAAATCTGCACGCTTTAAAGATTTATCTGGATCACCATATATTGATTCTCATTTCCAACCCAAGAATTAATTGTCCAGTTGTGTCTAAATCTGACCGCTCATAGAGACTTAAGTCTTGTACATTCATTACTTGCTCATTCTTGAAACTTGCTTTATCAAGCATGCATCCTGAGTAAATTGCTTTCCTACATAGCCGTAGGAGGTGACTCAACTTGCTGGCAACATTTGATCTCACCTAGTCTGCCATATCTCTACATTTAATCATCAACAGGGTCAAGCTACTGACAAAGCGGAAGATTTTGAATGTCTTGAAGCAAGAGACAGGAGGATGCCAGCTGCAGATGATACAGCTCTAACAACTACTGAGAAAAATGCAAAAGCATTGGTAGAACATCTGCCTGACAATGTTAATTGAAAAAAATGTTTTAATAAGTAATGCATTTACTACTACTAATAATGATGATTAATTTATTAAATATGTGCACTCCCTTTCATCCAAAAATCACAGGGTGGTCTACAACATAAAAATGAGAACACAAAATACATAATTAAATGAAACAAACAAACCAGTAACACCCTTCCCACAAACACTCACATGCACATGGGAAACTGATTTATCTGCCTTCATTAGCTTTGATACGGGGATACTAAATGTGCCATGCAACTATGTTCCACTGCAGTGCTTATACCTGAGGAGAAACTGCCTCCTCTCTTCTGAAAGAGGGGTGTGGTGAAAGTCCCCTAAGATACATTTGTTGGTGTTTCAGCACGAACATAGAATGAAACACAAAACAGAACTCACATGCCTTAAGGGTGGAGCATAAAGACAGCAAATACCCCAGCTCATACATCCCATGGGGTAGGTGCTTAATTCACATGGCAGAGGAGCAGCGCAATCCCCTCCCCCCTACCACATCAACAGCATAAATTGAGTATTGCGTGTCAAGGCCCCCAAGCCAGCCCCCCAGAAAAAATAAATTCACACAGACACAGATTTTGGTTTAAGGTTAATGGGCAAAATTTAGGCCACAACTTTATTGATTACAGCAAATGTGAGCGGTATTTGCTTAGGCATTGGCAATAGACTCTATCTGACTCCTGCCCACCTTGCAGGGAGTCAGGGAGGGTAAACCACCCAAAGAGGAAGCCACATTGGGGGAACCCGCCTGCAGCTCTCCTCGGTGTTCCCAGAGGCCTGGCATGGCCCTAGCCCCTCAAGCGGACTTCGGACAGGATCCAGGCCCTGGATTCCTTTATCGGAATACCCTTGAACATGGAGGGGCAGGTGATGGCCGACCTCCCCTCCCCCCACATCAATAAGCCAATGCCTAACTGCCAAACCTTACGAAGTTGTAGCGATTGCTAAGAGGTAGGCGAAAACCAAGTGGCCAGTGCCAATCTGCCAAATGGAAAAATTCCTACCCGCCCCCCCGTCCCAAGACAGGCGACCAACCAAAGCAAGGCCAGAGGGCACCTAAAACAAAAGGGAGGGTGGGGTGGGTGGGTGTTCGGCAGTGCGAAGCAGGTGCTCAGCACACGTCGTGCTACCGCTTTCATACCCCCCCCCACGATCACCGCACTCAATCACGATTGGCCAAAAGAGGCCTGGGGTGATTGTGGTGCCACCCTGGCATAAAGGGCATCACTCCCCCCACACCAGGGAGGGGGGGAACTGTGTTGTGGGCCCACCAGCAACCAGGACTATCCTTTAAGATGATCCCACAAATGGTAGATTGTCTAGTGCACATGTGGGCATCTCATGGCTTGAATGCAGCCCTCGGAAGCCTTTTGTGTAGCCCACCATTGGTGCCACACTGCATTCCCATCCCCTGGGAACCCCCTCAGGGTGATAATGTTGGAAAGAATGCACTGGGGAAGGACATAGCTATATCCCCCAACACAACTGTACTATCTCAGTCCATCAAACACTTGAGGGGCTGATTTGCATGTGTAGAGACAGATGAATCCCCTCAAGTGTTTGGCAGGCAGGACATTACTGGAATTATTGTGGGTGAGTACCGGTAGGTGCTGGGGAGGGACATACTGACTCCTTCCCAGCCCACCAAACAGTGGGTTTGGTTTCCATGGGCCAGTTGGTATACAGGGCATACTGCAACTCTTTTCTTTGGAAATTGTGTGTGTGCTGACTGTATTTCTGTGTATGTGTGTTAATGGCTCCTGAGCTCCCACTTCTGTGATTGGCCCTCGGAGATGAGGGCTTGCTCACCTCCAAGGGCTGGTTCACAAGCAACATTATCAGCGTACTGGAAGAACTCACACTGTTGAGCTACTACAGGAATTAAATGCCCAGGGGATATATGACGTAGGTCTCTAATTTTACACTTCCACTGGAACATTTCAATGACAGTGTGACTTATAATGTCCCAGAATCAGAAACGTAGTTAGATAACTGTCAAGTTATTTCAATCTATTAACAGTGCATAAAGGTACACATTTTTTTTCATTTTAAAAATGAAATGCTAATCCAAAGAAATAATAACTCAATTTTAATTAATTTCATCTCTAGACAAGATAGGACTAAATCAACTGATGGACATATCATTGTCACATTAGTAACAGCAAATCCTTATCATGTGTGCTATCATGCAATTTGCTAGGGTTAAGATTATATTTCTGTACTTGATAAATCAATGCTTTCTGTTTAACTCAATCTGTTGATTGTTTGATTATAATAATGACCAGTGGCTTCCCCACCATTATAAACTTTCACTTTCATAGATTAAAATTGTAAGCAACTCAGAAACCATTTCTTAGTTCACAAGGTGAATTCTGATAACATTTTGCCTATATCTACAACTACCAAGTGCATAATCAGTTAAAGCAGAGCAGTTAACAGCAATCCTACTGCTGTGTTATACCAGTGTACAGGTTGTAGGATTTGGCATCATTTTGCTAATGGAACAGAAGATGCACCACCATGACAAATATATCAGGAGTGCTGCCCAGACTTCCCAATGGAGTGGCTAAAACAAGATGAAGTCATGAGTAGGATGTACACTTCCACTATACTCACTGTACAGGAGTTGTATAAACTTACACCCAATTGACAACACAACTTTATACAAGCTTGAATCTGGCACAATTCTACTCCTGCACTGCTGACCCTCAATACCATGACAGATCATAGGTGTCAGGGAATCCAATCCCCCCAAGGTAGGCTGCCGGCAATAGATAAGACAGGGAAAGTTCTTACCAAGGTCTTTTATTCAATATTCACAGAGAGAGGCTAAGAAATGCAGCCTCTTGGAGTAATCTCCACCCCCCCATCTCACCTCAATCGTCAACAGCACCACCCACCTTATGGTGGCCGCTTAGGGCCTTTTGTCTTTGAGCCCTTTGCTCTTCTACTTTCAATGCTCGCCAGGTTCTGGGAGAAGGGGGGGGGGTCTGGAATGCTTTCTAGTGATAATGTGGCCGCCAACTGCTCTGGCTCTGCCTTCCCCTCCTCTTCTTCCATTATTTCTCAACTTTGCCCCTCATCTACCTCTGAGCTGTGACTTCCTGCAAACCACTGTTGTAAATCTATGCTGTCTTTCTCTTCCCTGGAAGGTTCAGGCTGGGGAGGAGGGGGTCTCCACCATTACTCCTCTGCCCAGTCCCTGACAATAGGATACATTTCAACCCAGCACCCAATATACTTCACATAGGGAGACTACAACTCAGATCCTAGGGTATGTGGCAGTGATCTCTCTTTCTCTCTTTCCCATGTTGTGCACACTTTGAGCTCACAAGAGGGAACCCCATTTTGTGAGGTTCTTCTAGAGTTTAATAGGCTACTTATATCTAGTTGATTTATTTGGTATAATTTGCAAGCTTAACTTCTTCCAACCCTGAATAATTTAAATAGCACTATCCCCAAAACAGTTCTGGAAATGGTAAGTGCAAGTTCAGCTGGATCAGAGCAATCTAGTCCAGAATCCTTTTTCTTAGCAGCAAGCCATATGTCTTGAGGAAGCTCACCAGAAGGGAATGAAGCCAATAGCTCTCATCACTGTTATGCCTTCGCAACTCATATTCAGTAGTCTATGATGGTACTTAATCATAATAGCTAATAGCCCAATAAATATTGTTCATGCATTTGTCAAAATCCTGCTTTAAAGCCATCTAAGCTAATGAACATACTTACTTCTTGTGGCAGCAAATTCCATAAATTATGTATTTGTGTGAAGTACTTTTACTGCCTGCCTGAATGTACAGCCAATCAATGTCAATGGGTGACCCAAGTTCTAGTATTATAAGAAGAGAAGGAACCTTTTCCTCTGGTCACTGTCTTTATAGACTAAAAGGTAACAAACAGTTCAGACTTCCCTTGTAGTGAAGGTGCGCCAATCCTGTGATCCAACTGTTAATCTTCTATGTTATGAAAAGCTAAATGAAAGTATAGAATGGCAAAAAATGAATAATTGTTGATATAGCAAAGAAATCTGAACAATTGGCAACGCATGAATCGTCTTAGAATAGAATTGTAGAGTTGGAAAGGACTCTTGAGAGTCATCTAGTCCATGAATCACAGCTAAAGAATCCATGACAAATGGCCTTCTAACTTCAGTTTAAAAACCTCCAATGAAGGAGTCCACCACCTTCTAAGGTAGTCTGTCCCACTATCAAACAGCACTTCTTTAATGAAGTCATGCTGATTTTCCCTCGGAAAAGTTCTTTTTCTACAATATGCTTAACATACGCAGATTAAGTAATGCTCTCTAAAAATTAAACTGGGTGTATACCTTGGTAGATGCTCTCTTCTTGAAACATGTTGTGAAGGAAAATTTAGAGGTAATTGTATGTCTGTCTTCTATCTATCTATCTATCTATCTAATAAAATTTAGTTTAAAAAACTCTTCCACAATGGATATTTTTAAGAACTCTATTGCATGCCCACTGGCTTTAGCAGTTTTTTAAATCTTAACTTGCGAACTGGTTCTAAACTTCTAAATATGTTCTTATCTCTTGATCAGGGAAGGCCAATGCAGATGATTTATTTAGTTTCAGTGTAATTTCCTTGTCTTCGTCAATGTTCCTCTTACACCTTTGTCATTACTGTCCACTGCTTGTCTCGTTGGCTTCCTGCTTTTAACATATTTGTATATGTGCTGCCGAAGCGAGCACCCTACTTTTAACATATTTGGGGAAGAAAAATAAATTGTCCAATTCTCAGCAATTTGGTCTTCACATTCCTGCTTGGCTTGCCTTACTTGAATTTGCAATACAAATGCCAATGGTTTTCTTTCTTTCTTTTTTCATTTGTACATTCACAAGACACAGTTCCAAGTTTCCTTGATTGTTCTGTTTACTCACATTAGTGTCATTTTGGAGAGTATTTCTGTGCTTAAGCTAAAGTATGTCTAAGAAAATAAAAGTTTACTGCGAAAACCTACATACCATATTTTCGCTCTATAAGACGCACCAGACCATAAGACACACCTAGTTTTTGGAGGAGGAAAACAAGAAGAAAAAAATGCAGAATCTCAGAAGCCAGAACAACAAGAGGGATCGCTGCGCAGCAAAAGCAGCGATCCCTCTTGCTGTTCTGGCTTCTGGGATAGCTGCGCAGCCTGCATTTGCTCCATAAGACACACACACATTTCCCCTTACTTTTTAGGAGGGAAAAAGTGAGTCTTCTAGAGCAAAAAATACGGTATGTCTACCCAGAAGTAATTCAACTGAGTTCAATGGGACCTATACAACCATGTGTACAGAATGCCAGCCTTAAAGAGCAAATTTAACTCAGCCCAGGTAAGAGTACAGAGGAACAGTGGGTTGGACACTGCATCCCAAACCCTGCTACTTGCATCAACCAAGGCAGAAGATGGGAGCAATTTTTATTTTTATGTTGCTGTGCCAGCCCCTGGCAGGTGCAGCTAAGAGGCCTGGACTGGGCCCCTCAAAGGGATGGAGAATCCTAGGGTAAAGTGGATTCATGTCTGGCTCTGCTCCACCCTGGCTCCACAATACCTTATATTGCAGCTCTACCATTGCTACCACCGGCAGTAGCTTCTCAATGACTACACTTTGAGCAAGCTAAGCTGGGACCTTTCCAACAGCAGAGCCTGGTGGACAGATACCTCCTCCATATTCTAACCCAGGGGTAGGCAACGTAAGGCCCAGGGGCCAGATGCGGCCCAATTGCCTTCTCAATCCGGCCCGTGAACAGTCCAAGAATCAGCATGTTTTTACATGAGTAGAATGTGTGCTTTTATTTAAAATGCATCTCTGGGTTATTTGTGGAGTATAGGAATTCATTCATTTTTTACCCCAAATATAGTCCGGCCCACCACATGGTCTGAGCAAAAAGGCATCCCTTAGGTTTTATAGAACAATTAAACAACTTATCTGAGCATCCATAAAATGTAAGGTCAACTATAGCTTTTTTTTTAAAAGAGTGTTAAAGGCTGGCAGACATATTCCACACATTTTCAATGAACCTCAGATTTCCACTTCAGTTTTCTACCTGATTTTTAAAAAGTGTATTCTTTGTAAAAGTGCGCACACCCACACTATTAGAACTAGAAGAGGCATCACCCAGGAACTGCTTGTACACATTCCTATATAACTCTCCACGCTCACTTTTTGTTTCTTTCTAATGTGCCTACATTTTTCAAGCAATTCTGCAAATGAATTCCTACAGGGAGAATACAGGGCTTTTTATTTTAAACATGTCGGGAAGAATGTTTGTCCTAAAACTGAGTTGCAGGAAAAGAGCCCGTCTGAAGTGCTCACTTCTTTCTGCAGAACTCAAGTGACCATACCCTTTCATTCTGAAGTGAAAAAAAGGGAAAAGATTATTACTATGCTACTTTGGGAAGTCAGCCCTCCTGTAAGCGATCTCCTTTGTTATGAATATGGAACAGATGGAGCTAAATCTATCTGCTCTGTAGGAACAAAAACACTTACAACCTAGCTCTCTCTATTAAAGACTCTACTTAGCTCCTTTATACCACTAGCTTTCTGTGCACCGCTGTGAGGTTTTGACTTTATAGAAAAAGGGACTTCATAAAAGCAATAGCTCTTATTCTTAAACCAAAGTGGCCTAAGAACCGCAGAAGACGAATACGGGAGTTTAACCCGCATGGCTCCTTGGAGATATGCAAATATTCAATTACTTTCTCTCTTCTTCTTTTTTTAAGCTGGAGGAAATATTCTAAAACGAAAAGGAATATCCATATGCGCTACAGACTTTGTACCAAAACAGTAAATCATGTGGGTGATAACATACAGCCCACATTACTAAAAGGTCAAGAATAGCTCCATTGTTGAAAGTCAGGAAACCAGGATTTAATTTGTGTATGTCAGGATGAAACAAGATGACAGTCCTTCAGACGAAACCTTATCAAACTCTCAAAGTGCATTTAGTGTAATGCAAGTGAAATGTGCAATTAGGCTCCCATCATGCATACACAAAAAAGACGCTGTATTGGATTATTTCAAAGAGCTGAATTTTTCACCTTTGAGCATGTGTGTTGACTAACATCTGAATACAAGTCTACATTTATTAAATTAACAAACTGGAAGTAAGCAGCTGAGAACCAATACACATGCTTATTTTGTTTTCATCTGTAATGTCAAAAGGCCCTGAGAGACCAGAATGGATATCAGTCCAATTGCCTAAATATAAATAAGAACTACATTCATAATTTCCCCAACAGCACTGCACATTCGTCACAAAAGTTTTAGCAATGGATTAAGCAAAGCAGTGACCTTGTTTACCAATTAAATGTACCGTATTGATACATTTACTGTCAGTCTCTTGAAAATAATTGAAAAAGGATTTGAAGGCAGGGTGCTTTAATTCTGACTAGATCAAGACTTCAGGCAAATTTCCCCCTGCCAGGGAAAGCACAGCTTGCCTGAAGTCGTAACCTTTGTTGGCGGAAGGGAAGTGGCCTTGAAACAGATCACGAAGCAGATGTTTAATGTCAAATCAGAGTCTAGGGATACATAGGCTATTGCAAATAAAACTCTTCTCCTGTCTGCTTAGTCTTCCCAATTCCCTGCCATGTGAAATATGAACTCGCCAACAAATGGCCAGTGTGCTATGCAGCGCAGTGAGCAGAGCGACTGCCACAGCTGAGCCAAAGACCGGAAAATTCCATATATTTTGCAACATTTTCATTATCCTGCTTTACAGCCGTGGATTCAGTCATAAGACAATGTAGTTATCCTGCCTATGGAAGTTGAGAAGGATTGCTACTGGCATCTAATAATGGATGAGCACCAGGAAACAGGCTTTAAACTAAACTTTTAGATTAAAGACTTTGGTCATTAATCTAACCAAAGACTTTTATCTATTGCCTGGCCCAAACTATCTGGCAGTGCAAAATAATAAAGTGCCATTTCCTAACACTGACCTATTTTGATACAGTGAATCATGGGGATGCAAAACCCACACCTAACTTAATGTAATGGCTGGGCCTCATTATTTATTTTCTAAAATGAGAAAATCAATTAATCATGGAATTTGTATATTTAACCTTGGAAGCAATTCCTCTGATCCAGATGTGTGGGAGCTACTGCTCTAATGTTCACGAGTGTTTTAGGAAATTCTGATTGTTTTATTGTACAACATTTTACAATTGTAATTGTGTTTCGCTGATTGCTTATAAATGCCCCGGAATATTTTTTTTTATAAATGACAGTTCAGAATGTTCAATAACTAAATAAATAAACAAATATTGGATGAAGTTGCTTAGTAGAGAAAGAAAACTCTCTGATGCAGAACATTATTCAGGAATTCTATTCTGGAACAGAGAAGGAAGAGTTCTGCAGGGTAAGAATATAGGAAGAGAAATATTACATGCCGTATGCTCTGCCTCATTCTTCCCCACTTCCCTGCCTCTTCCTCCTCCTCCTCCTCCTCCTCCTCCTCCTCCTCCTCCTCAGTAGTAACTACAATCCTGTACTGAGAAGCAAAGATGATAAAGAAAAAGTGGAATACAATTGGCTTAACCTTTACTTTCCAAGATGCCAAGTTTACTACAGGCAATCATGTTTGGTACATTCCCCAGCAAGCATTTTGTGTGAATAAGACGCATTTATATATGTGCACTGGAGAACCAAAGCCAAATCAGGGCTCCTAGGTGCATGCAGATAGATGTTTAAGGATTTTGTGTATTCACTGCAGGAGACATAGTTGTAACACTGGTATTACTCACAATAAATACCATTGCTAAATGAAGTGCAGAGTGATTCTTGGAAAGCTGCATTCTATAACCTAGCTAGTTCTACTTATTTATATGCAAATCTTTTAAGTCAGAGATGGAACACTTGTAGTATGTATGTTGGATACAATCCACAGAACAATTTTATCCAGCCCCAGCAGTTCTACCAAAGTTTTAATTGGAAGAACTAGTAAAAAAAAAAAAGTCGCCGTGAAAAGAAAAGTGCTCTCAAAAATTCTGATACGTATATTCCTCACTTTAATATCATATATTTCTCCGAGTTCTATAGATCATATACTGGCTGATAACAAGTCAAAAAGTTTTTATACAAAATGACCAGGATTAATTGTGTAGTACAGTAAAGTAAGGTTTTTTTTTAATGTCTGTATAGGAATCAGTCAACTCATACTCACTTAACACAACTGAGAGTTTTACAGCCTACAACTTGGACTGCATGGGCACAGAATTCTGGGTTATATCCAGTTGTGTCCCTCTGTTCAGAGAAGGCACTGTGCCCCTGAGGAAGCTTCTGTAAAAGGATGTAAGAAGAACCTGCAGGATCAAGCCAGTGGCCCACAAGCAGGACCCAAGCACATGAACACTCCCTCCTTGTTTCCAGTGACAGGTAGATATGTGGTTTTCCCTCGAATTCTCTCTTTCTTCTGCACCCCTTATACTACCTCTCATGGTGGTCTGAATTATTCCCCAGTCCCTGAAGCAGGTTTTCTTTTGGGAAAAGGGGTTGCACAAAGAGCCCCAGAGAGAACGAATTTGCAAAAATTGCTTCCCTCCCTTTTCTGTTCATGGAAACCTATACCAGACTGAAGAGAAGAAGGGATACAACCCAACTTTTATTTTATTGTCAGAGTACATGCAACCCAGAAGATGCCACTTCGACATGGGATGGTTGGCCAGTTTTTCTGTTTAGCAGAGCCAATCCTGTGAGGAAATAGTAAGGATGGGAGTTCATTGGACCACAGCATGATACATACCTGCACTGAGCAAAGATACACTACAGTGTTTTAGTGAGCTAAAAACATCCATCTATTCCATGCCATAAAAAACCGCAGCATCAGAGTACCTGTGAGAGGTCATCTAGGGAAAAGTCAGGTAAAGAGGGCATGCAGGAATGAAGGACTCGGGGCCACAGTGGGCACCATATGGAGACAATGGAAAATAGCCTCCCTGTGGTAAGTGATATTCCCACCCTTCAAGTAACAGATGCAAGCACTTATCACAGATATTGTAAATTATGATCTTCCAGTACTTCTAAACATCATGGCCCTGGCAGGGATCATTTGCCATATGATTGCTGTTTCCAGCAGTAGTGCCATAAATGATCATAATGTACATCCACAATCTATTGAAGGCAGAGGGTATTTTTAGTTATTGATGTATGTGTGTTGTATTTCAATTAGCTTATACAAGGCTGTACATAATTGATTCTCAAAATCTTTTCCACACATGGGGGCCTTAATCTTACATAAAAGGCAAGCATGGCAAAGCAGTTAATAAAAGAATAATGTACAGGCAATGATCACACAGCTGCAAGGTACAATGGTATGCACATTCTGCAACTAACACTTATCCAAGCCCTGTACCTCTTCAATATGTTTTTCAGCTGAAACTCCCCATAATCCCTCATCATTGCACAATGCCGGCTGGGGAATACCATCGCCATCATCTGGAATTACGCTGACCTCCCTGTCCTGGTGAACTAGTACAGAATATTTTCTGATAGGGTTATTAGAATGGATGTCAATTGCATTGATAACCATATCTAACACATCTACAAGGGCCGGAAATATTATTAGCAAACTGCCCAACACTGGGTGTGTGAAATTATTGCCCAATTATTGCAGGAACTGCTAAGGGCCATGCAATGTTTCTCTGTATGCTCTACCTACCAGAACACATTATTGGTGGAACGGCTAGACTTCCAGAAGTCTCACTTGCACTTAATACTAAGTCTTAGGCTTGTGTGCTATCTCCATCTCCACTTCTCCTCCAGTGTGTCGATGAGGAAGAGGCTGAAGCTTTCACTTCCTTTTTCAGATTAACTGCAGTTTACCATTATATCCAAATCCTAACATGTGGTTAATCTTAACAACATTTTGTTGAAATAAATCAGTTTCAGGTCTCATGGTTTGAAGCTGGTTTGCATCAACAAACCATATCTAAGCCACCGTTTGTCTGGATTCAGACATCACAACAAGCTTCAGCTAATCTAAAATAGAAGGAAAAGCTCCCAAAACTCCTCATTATGGCTGTGCTGGAGGAAGTGGGAGGCATGTGAGAACAAAGCTTGCAGTGGCTTGTTCTTGCAACACTAATCCTCATTTCAACAACATGTGTGAATGCAGCCTAAATGTGTTTTCATTTGCACTGTTGTACTGCATTCCCAGAGACAACATTTCATTTCTCCCTGTATGAGCACACGGCATCAATTCACTTCTGTTGAGTTAAAAAAAGGAGTGCTTTTGGGAACACCATTTAGATGGCCGCTAGCCATCCACCAGAGCCTCCTGACTCTGGATCCTAGGGAAAGCGGCAAGCCTTGGCCCTTTTTAACTGTGTCCCAAATTAAAACCAATTTACTTTGTCCTATATAACTCATTGTGAGCTGCTGCAAATAAAGTGTCAAAAGCAGTCCCTATCTGCATGACCCCTACCCTTCTTCTGTAAATCTGGGACTGTCCCTGGAAAATAGGGACGTTTGGAGAGTCTGCACTGCACCCAAGGCAAGTTAAGATCCTTCAACATCACCAGGATATTATAATCTGGTACACAGATATTTCAAGTCACTATAATGGAGGGGAGGATCTGAAAATTGGATATTTATGTATCTCACCTTTGCAGTTACATGGCTGATTTATTATTCTTTTTCAAATAGCATTACTACCCCAAGTCAGGGTTAAAATAATGAAAACAAAACAAAAACCCGGAACCCATTTATTGAGATGTCCACCAAAATCTTTAGAGGAACAGGTTTGCTGTGTTTCACAGTTTCTAAAAATGATGCTGTGGCATTTAAAACTGAAGTTTATATTCCTACACTTTCTCCCAAAAGAGTGCTTAAAATAGGCACACATTAGACAGTTCAACAGACCTTACTTTCCTATCACTGAATTCATCAATTGCCTGATAGCAATCGAGAACCTACAGCTCGTCCCTGGATTTTGAAGTGCTCTGTGAAAGAGAAACCTCCCCATCACAGGGCTTCTACGTTTTATGCTGAACAGGATTCTTCTCTTTTTCAGTCCTGATAACAGACTTAGCAGGTTTCTCTAGGGAACTACACCACCATGGCAGATTTTTATCATGCCCTTTTCTTCTGAAACATTTCGCTGAAAATAATTGGAACGTAATGATCCTTCAGAGGAGTCGCTAGACAAGGGGGGAAAATGAAATAATACTGAAGAATGTCATGTTGGAGACTGCATTTTCATTTTGCAGAATCTTCAGATGTCCAGTGGGAACTGTCAAAGACACGGATCAATTAATTTTCTAATCTCTTCATAATGAGCTTCTTCCTACCTCCCACCTCTTGTTTGTGTCTTCTGTAGCAAGCAATTTGATCTTTATGGGTTTGTTTTGATCATCTTCTTTCTCCCTTTCAAAACTTTTCCATTGTCTTAAAAACAGAAAACATGTTTGAGAGCAGGAGGAGGAGGAGGGAAATGTGAATTCGCCCTAATAGAATTAAGCATACTAGTAATGTCTCTTCTTTAATCCAACGGAACAATAGAGATAAACCTCTGAAGCTTGTATGTGGGGAAATTGATTTCTGCCTGTAGAGTACATGGAAAGTGTGAAGGTCATATCGACAGCCTGCCCTGCACTGCTCTTAGGGCCAGCTGTATTCATTCTGACTTCTTTCTTATCATTCCCATCAGCTCCACACATTCTGTCCCATTATTCATGGATTGCTCATACAGAATTGGTTGCAGAGGTACAGAATATTAAATGTCTTCTGATAGTTTTTCCTAGGGGCTGTAAAGTTGTTCTCTAAAACATTCTCATAAATGAAAGCTCCGGGGGAAGGGAGAAAGTGAAGCTATATCGGGGTAGCAAATCTGGTGCCCTCCTGATGTTGCTGGAACCATCAATTCACTTGTCTCTGACCACTGGCCATGCTTAGTTAGGGCTTGATACAAGCTCTAGACCATTAACATCTGGAGGATACCATGTTGAAATCTAGCACTCTAGACCTGCACCCAAAGATGGCTGGTGAGTTCACGTCTGTTTTTAAATTAAGGCTCTCTTGTTTCCTTGATCTCCTTACTCCCTAAACTACCCAACTCACAGTCCCGCTCAATTTTGTCCTGCTCACCTGTCTCTATTTCGTCTTCTTCTTGGTCCTGCTAATCTTATGCAGCTCATCTGATTCTTAGGTCTGTGTTAATTTTCTCCATCCTTCCCTGCCGCCTCTTTGCCCTTTAACCTCCCTATTGTTTCCATCCTCCCTTGTCTCCTATATTTCCATTTCTAATCCTGCTGCCACCTTTCCTTTAACTATTCCATTTCTACACACTGCTTTCAGTTTAGAGCATGCAGGCCAACAGGAGACCCAACTGATTAATTTCTAAAATCAAAGAGTTCTGGGGTTTGTTACAGAGTTTGATTCAACTGGAATTTTGCGCATCCTCCCCTCAATAGTGAGTGTGATCGATGCTACTGGAGTAATCAGAGACAACACCCTGGGCCAGTGCTGAAACCAATACATAGCCACCTGCAAACAGGAATCGGTTATATATATGCTGAATTGCATCCTGGAAGCCAATACAGAGGCACTTAATCTAGACAAAATGGAAGAACTGCTAGTGGATTCAATCTGTTCAATCTTTGGAGATCCTCCACCAGGTACTTTTGCAGTCTGAATTGAGGTGGGTGGCAATGGGGGAGAGAGGCTTCTTAGCTGTGGTGCCTCACTTTTGGAATGTTCTCCCCAGGGAGCCTCACCTGGCACGTGCTTGTGGTTTTGGTTCAGCCTTACTCTGCTTTCATAATTTGCCTGCTTCTCTGCTCAGAAGGAATTAAGTCATCTTGCGTGTCCATTTCATTTCTGTCAAACAATTGACTGATCACTCCCATAGTGATAAACTGCAACCGAGTTAAAATAAATGTATAGTAAACTACATTTACCCTCAGGTGAACTGTTGAAACTGTTAATCTCTATATAAGCACCAATAATTACTGTTTTGTTTCCTGTAGAAGGGTGGGAGGGTGTATTCCAGAAAGCACTTTAGCAGCCAATCTGCATGTTAATAAAACTTGGAGAAACATTTGTGATTAATATAAATTACGAATCCCACTTTTATGCCTGTGTGTGACTGGGACTAATTCATACAGCTTCGCATGAGCTACCACTGTGTATTTCAAAGTGGGAGGGTTAACATTGTGCTATCTCAATCCTGCACAGTTCTGTTAACAATTTACATGTGCAACTGTGGGTGGGTGTGGGTGTATCTTAAAAACAACCTTACTTATGAGGTATTTACATATTATTTTGAAAACTGGGCAACTGGTGCTTGCCTGTGCATGCAACCTTAGCATATCAGCAGAATGCTACTAGAGTGCTGATGTTATGAGTACCAGCAGTCCCCAGTTCCCCATGACATTTTAATGAGAGGGCCAGTCACCCACAAAGTGTGGCATGGCCGCACATGTACGCTGCGGGGCATGCACACACTACGCCACGACACCCTGCTACATGCATCACCAGAGGGTGTGATGATGTAGTATGCGCATGCCAGGGGGAATGATGACATAGGACATGCCCCATGGTGTGTGTGCTCACCCCAGTGACTGCACACAGCCCCAGGCACCTGTGGTCACAGGGGCAAGCCGGAGCCACTGAGTCTTGCTTATATGTGATGCCAAGGAACAAGTGAATGCCCCGAGAGTATGGTGTTTAGGCTTTCTTAAACAAACTTGCCAACACTGGCAGCAATTGCCTACTAGGGCAGGTGGAGCAAAGGGCAGGGCAAAAAAAAACATGGCACCTAATAGCAGGGAGTCCTGGGTGTAAAAGGATCCAGAAGTCACAAAAGGTAGAAATGGCAGAGCACAGGGAAATCGACTGTGGTGTGGATCCAGTTAAGTCACTGTGTGTGTGGAACAACTCTCACCAGCACAATGGTAGTTCTCTCATTCCAGTTCCCCACCAGTCCCTTCACTACACTCAAATGCGCTCAGAAGTCTTGGGAGAAAGTTTTGGGGGAGCGCTGGGAGTTAAGAGGGGAGAATACCATTGTCCCCAGGGATGTCATTGCATGCATGCAATAATTTAGTTGGGTCCAACCCTCAGTGTTTAAGTGGTGGTAGAGGAGGAAGAGAGAAACAGCAAGGTTGGGTCCTTGGATAGAGCAGAAGGGGAGAGGCTGAGGGGAAAGAAAGCAAGGCTAGGAGTGAGAGGAGAAACAGTCAGGCTAAGGGGTAGGAGCTAGGCTAAAGGATGGGATGGGTTGGGAGAAAGAGAGCTTTCCTGTTCTGCATTGTACAAAAACAACTCATTTTCTTGGCCCAGACCAGGGACACCAATCAGAGCAAAATTGCATGGGTTATTTTTAAGTGATTCCAGTGGATTGGTCATGGGTGTAGGTCTGGAACAAATCACTTTATGCATATTGCTGATATCATTTCAGCCGGCATCTATTCCATATTACACAATGCATACAAGCACTGCAGCAGTTCATTCAATTAGTGCGTTATCTCAGAAACTGAATTACCTAGCGAGAACACTTCTCATCTCCACAACAAGAGTATAACAGCACTATCATTTCCCAAAACTGGTTTCATTAAAAGAATGTCTGGTTTGGCAAGTACTCACTAAATTCTTGCAGGGTATATAGTACAATACCTGTACTCACATTTCATATCCTGCCAATTCTATTATGATAAAGCAAAGGACTCCCAACAGTACGGTAATACTAACCAGTTCTAGCTATGAAATGATAAAACATCATAGCTAATTCGTAGTACGTATTTAGCTAGGCTGATTACAAGATGAAATCCAGCAAATACAATAATTAATATAAAAGGTAAAGAGACCCCTGACCCTTAGGTCCAGTTGTGGCCGACTCTGGGGTTGCAGTGCTCATCTCGCTTTATTGGCCAAGGGAGCCGGCATACAGCTTCCGGATCATGTGGCCAGCATATCTAAGCTGCTTCTGGAGAACCACAGCAGTGCACGGAAATGCCATTTACCTTCCTGCCGGAGCGGTACCTATTTATCTACTTGCACTTTGACGTGCTTTCGAACTGCTAGGTTGGCAGGAGCAGGGACCGAGCAACGGGAGCCCACCCCATCGCGGGGATTCAAACCGCTGACTTTCTGATCAGCAAGTCCTAGGCTCTGTGGTTTAACCCACACCACCACCTGTGTCCCTCTAATTAATATACATCTAATCAATAAGGGAGGAGGTTTACATGTTTTCACAGAACATGCACCAGTAAGCTTAGTTTAGCATATGTTCATATATGTGCCTATCACCCCACTTTGGATGAAACTTGGCTAATTAATTTTGTGGTCAAGGTCTCGATTTTCTTACCGGTATATCTAAAATAGGCACATCTTTATATCTCGCCTCAAAACTCCTGTTGCATTTGTTGGTTCTCACAACTTAAATCTAATGTTCAGGAAGAGAAAGAAAAAACTCTTTCCCCTTTGTCTTGTTTATTAACCGTGGAAAGAAAACCATTCATTCAGCCACAAAGGCCAAGACCTCTTACAATATACATATGAGACAATTCTCAAAGATGCACGTTACAAGCACAGCCCATCTCCTTTCTATACACCCTGTTCCATTGCATTAATGACACTTGAATTTTTAACAGCAAGAATCCAAATAATCTCTTTTCAATTAGTTATCTGACAGGCTTAGGGGTGGGGGGGGGGGAGGTGGGAAGGACCTGCAAAAACAAATGCTAGCACTGTTTTGGTTCATATCTCCACTCTCTTACACAGATATTTATTCAGTCCCAAATTATGCAACAGCTTTTAACACTCCCTTTGAGGGTTTTAAGAACACTACCGACATCAAAATCTATTAGACAGTGGTGATTGTTCCAGCTTTTCTTTTACAAGACTAGCACTTAATTCTTCTAATAGCAACCAGTCCTTTAATCTGCACACTAGATTAAGCAAAATTCCCTTTTAAAGGTTACCTTGTCTGTCTGTTTAATGTTTCATGAACAAAAAATACCAATAATAAAATAAAAACACACATCTATCAAACTCTTCCAATTACTCTGATTTCACTCAGAATGTCGAAAGCAATTTGGGCGAACCAGCTATCAAAGTCAGGATTCCTTGAGTCACTTGAGCAGCTCAACAGCTGTCCGGGCAGCATCCCTGTTTATGCTGATCAGATCTCCACTGAAAAGTTAAAAGGGCATCTAGCAATAAAAACAATACCCTGAAGTATTATTGGGACATTAAAAAGCTCTGAATCTAAATAAATTTCCTTAGTTAGTTTTCATTCCTAAAGGTCAATTCAAATGTTCCTATATGTGAATAAAATGGTAAACACATTTCTCTCAGATCACAGTGGCATGAGGCCCCCGGAGGGGGAAAGTGTTCCACAAATCCAGAGGAAATTTATATTATCCCAAAAGATAACAAGAGAATAGGTCCAGTTGCATTTGAGGTTCCTTTACTTGGATCACAGCCAACAAATAAATTGTTAACACACATGACTCAGGGTCAAATTAGATGCGGATGCAACAGCCATACGTCTGTCTCGTTCATTTATACAGTGGGGGGGTAGCAGAGTTTATTGAGCACCTTCCCATGCTTCAAGTATCTTTCACCTATCACTTACGGTATCGCAGGTAGGGAGGGAGAAAGTGCTAGCCATAACAGTGTGTTTACGTTTCAGTAAGATGGAAGTGGGAGGAGAGGATTCAGTTTTCACTTTTGACTTGTCACATGTAGCATGACTCACAGAGGAGCACCTGCTATTTAGATGCCATTTTGAAGTTTCCTAATCCATGGGCTCAAGCCCATGCGTAGTGGGGGGGCAGCTGTCCCAGGCATCAATGGGCTAAGCTGGCTGCGGCCTCCCCACCAGGGATGGCTGCTTTTGTGTTTGAGCTTATGACTTTATTCTAACAAGACTCCTGCTCCGGGCCTCAGACAAGTTCTACATGGACCTGGATGGCTTTCTAGGACTGTTTGACTGGGAATATGCCCAGCGCTATCACTGATCAAAGGAAGAAAAATGTATCCCAAGGATGAAAACAACAGCAACGGTCAATAACACAAAAATGGAACATCATTGTTTAAGATTATGCACCCTCCAGCAACCCAAATAGAATTGATGGAACCTCATCCAGCCTTTTGGTTTTGTGTTTAGTTCAACAAGTTGGCAATCTAGAACCAAATTAAGAGCCTACAACTTCTGAAACAAACAACTGCTTACCAAAGAGTTCCGGGTCTTAAAAAGACATGTCAGTAACTCAAAAAAGTATGAACCGATTCATAACCTTGTACATTCAAATAAATGTGATAAGAAGGCAAAAAAATCCATGACAACTTCCTTGAGGTTTTTGACATTTAACTGTTAGATAATGCAGTGAATTTAACAGCCAGTGTTTCCAAGGATAGGTACAAGTTCAAATTTATTTGCAACAAATAACCTAATGTTTGTTTAATCCTTTAAAAATCTGTTCTTTTGGGGAATGTTTAGTGGAAACCACTGAACAGTTCATACTACAAAGATGTAGTTCAATCATATACAAGAATTACACAGTTATGCTGTAGAAGATGTGATCCAGTGATATTTTGCGGGGCGTGGAAAATGTTTTTTTAAGACTTTAAGACTCTGAAATATGGCTAAAAAATTATGGTAATCTCACCAATTGCAATGCCAAAATGCTGCTGCTAAAAATATATCATTGCATTCCTAATTTTGTGCTATTTTACCTTTCATTAAAAAAAGTAACTGCAGCTTAGATGAAGAGCATAAAACTCTTGATATTTCAAAGTACTATGAAACAATTACGTTAATGGGAACCATTGACAGTTAAATGATTCTGCTAAATGAATGTTATAGAAAACACAATGACTTTTTAAAAAAGAAAAATATTGAATTTAACCACAAATTAGAAAAAAAGGTGTTACAAGCACTAGGGTGCATTTTTAACATTAATTCAAACGGCAGCGAAGTGCTGCTTATATAGTTCAACGGATTCTGTATTTTCTAATAAGCAAGTTAGTACATAGCAATGAGATTTTTTTTATCCTACTCCCCTATGAAAGGTCTTGCTGCTGCCTGGGAGTGCACTGCTGCCACACTGGGTAAAGAAACCCTTTCCCAGAGAGAGGACGTCAACTGGGACAGGGCTGGTGCTCAACAGCTATTCCTGATATTTTGAAGCACTTGAGTTTGTACTGAACTGCATTAATTGTTTAAATGAATCGGTTCGTTTTTAGCCTTCTTTACATGCTACTTTGTTTATAATATTCATACAGTGATTGGAATGCCTGCTAATTTAATGCAATTGTTATTATTGCAAGCTGCTGTTAGCTCAACTTTAGTTGTTGGAAAACAGAATACAAATTTTAAAAATTAAAAATCAAATAGTGGTTTCGACTAAACAGTTTGTACATGCACCCTGCAATCCTGTGGTTTTGGGGAGGGAGTCCCAGAGTCCATAGGACAGATCACATTTTTCTCTGTGAGGGTAGAGAGAAATCTGCCCTCAGAGATGGAGCATCAAGTAATATTTTTAAAACCCCTTAAAGGATTTGGCAGACTGAACCTGCTCAAGAAATTTCCCTGCAAATTTCAAACACTTGAGTGAAAAGGCAGGGGAGGAAAACCAGATATCCATCTTTAGATTTCTAATTATGGTCAATAGAGATAGAACTGAGCTTTGAATTTAACAGATCAGAATTGGACCCAAATAATGATTCAAATCAGAATAATACAGAGCAGATCTTAAAACAGATGAGGATGCTTCCAAACGCTACATATACAAGAGGAGCTTATTGGTTGCTGCACATACCCAGTTATACCTCACTTTAAATTTCCTTGGCTAGTTTAATTGTTAGAACTTTCAAGCAGCAAAGTTCACAATAATACCTAACCTATTGCTCACTGCAGTGAGATATAGTTCTGCATCCCTTTAGAGACACAAACTCTCCAAAGTCAAGGGGGATGTTTGCATAAGTGAGATCGGTACCATATGATGTAAATTAATTCATTTCACAACCATCTCCACTTGACTGGGATTCCTTTCATATTTACTAACAGGATATGAACCAGAGTTTAGTTCTGACATGTTTTCACATGACACATCTCCGAAAGTAAGCAGTGAAACAATTCAACTGTTACTGTTCCAATTTATTTTCATTACGCTTTGGCACGTGGAGAGAGTGTAAGATTGAGAGCGAGCACACAAAAGTACAAAGAGGTACGTTTTCCTGTGATGCCCGGTTGCTTAAGTAGAAGAAGCATTCATGTATTTCAGCAAGAATGAATTTCCCTATTTATTTTTAAGAAACATGAGACTGAAGGCATAAAGTAGAAGAATAGATGCTACCAGTTTAGTGAGATAATGGTTTCACTGAGGAAATAACAGCTGGGAAAAAATGGCTACTGCAATGCTGAAACTAATTGTAAAGTATTGGACTCTAGATGTGTAAGGTAAAGGAAAGGAGCTCTTTGATAAAGAAGAGCTAATTTCATCACTTTCGTATGCAGCTAAAAGGCTTATGCTTTTTCTGGGATTTGTTTCTCCCACTGCATCACATAAAGGCCATGTTGTTGTTTAATCGTGTCCGACTCTTCGTGACCCCATGGACCAGAGCACGCCAGGCCTAAAGGCCATAGCCAGCTTCAAATCTCCTTGGGGGGGTGGGGGGGCAAAGTGCCCTGATAGTGAGGGAGTGTGTGCTTGTTTAAAGGATGCAGGTGTGTGAATCCCTTCATCACTATTTGCTTGAAAACCTGCTCCCAATGCATTTTGCATCCCCCCACATGCTCAAAGAAACAGCTGTTCTGAGTAACAAGTCTCCTTGACTTGGTGAAGATTGCCATTTATCCCAAGACATTACTGTAATAATGCTGGACTGCGCTATTTGCAGATATAGCATTTGGAACATTTCTTCACTGATAACCATTTTTGTGTCGCCAAGGACATTGCAACAGCTTCTTTGAAAAAATGAAAGAATCTTGCATATCTGGAGTGGATAGTCTGTTACTATACACTTTCTGCAATGACACTTTGCACGTCTCCAAACTGAGAAGCAGTTCAAATGAACATAATGAGGTTGCGTTCACAAGAACATTAATACTTAAGTTTAACAAATGTACTCTGCACTTTCAGCAGTGTCTCCTGCTCCGTTCACAAAGAATAATATGAAGTAAAGAACCATCAAAGGAGAGTCATACTGACATTTCTTCACTGTTACAAGCATAGAGTTCACTCTACATCAGTCCATCAAAATGAGTGTAGCTACTATTCTATTGAATCAACAAGTGTTTGGGGACACCTCTTTGCACCTGAATGTGAACCTCATAAATGAAAAACATTACTGTAATGATATTGTTATTTAAATGCCTGTGAACCAGGGTGTATGTGGGAGTAAGAGAAGTTCTCTTGAATAACCTCAGTGGCGTTGCTTTATTTCACATGAATGCAGCTGGATATGCAGTTTCATGTGGGGAAAGGCAGACATATTTTATATCTCATTTTTATTCCCATACTCCTGGTGATTTTATCTAGGGATCCCAAGATCTACAAGTATATACTCAAGACACATCTGTAGCACATACAGACTGGCCTTTTGCAAAAGTGAAAAACTGCCATGGTTTCCTCCAGCTGCTATACAACATTTTATAAATCTCCAAATACTCACAGATGTAGAAATATTCCCGGCCTGGCCTGAACTCAAATCCTAATGAGAAGGGAGTGAAGAGTTGGAATTTTTCTGAGAACTTCAATGGTCCATTCGGAGAGTGAGGCCGATTGCACTCCCACCTCTTGAATCCTTTGGAAGTGTGATCACAGGAACTGTAGCCATCAAAGTTCACCATGTAAAGGATGTAGCGTTCAGTCTTATCTTCTGACACTGAATCTTCATAATGAGGACAGAATACATCCAAATAGTCATTGATGCAGACATCAATATGGTAGTCACCCCGCTGGAATCTAAAAGGAAAAACAAAACAAAACCAGTTCAGGAAATCTTCACGACAAAAAAATTACTTAAAGTCACAAAAAATTAATATCTTGATCAGGATTCACTCTCTCAGAAAAAGCCCTTCACAAGGACTTCCACTTGCGCAATGGGGCTTTCCCATCCCCTGTATTGGCTCCGTGTTTGTGTTTCATGAGAACCCCCAGGACAGCACACAAGGGAGGGAAGAATTGTTCCTTCAGGCAACCTGTTATGTCTGCGTAGATGGAACCTTTGCAATAGTGCAATGTTGAATACTACCCTTGGGGTATTTCCTTTGTCAAAAGCATGGGAAATAGCTCAAGAAATATTTCAAGCCATAACTTTGTACTCAGTGCCCTTTAACTGAAGGGCCACAACCAGTTCTTGTTAGGATTGTCCTGCTCTCCTGGCAGAGACACATGCCAGACTGGCATGATACCAAGAGGCATCAGCACACTTAGTGATCCGCAGAGTATTTGCAGTTTGCGTAACAGAACTCAGTATCACAGCATTTTGGCTAATCTACTTTATTTACATATAATACACTTGGAGCATTCTGACTTAGCGCCTTCCTCTTTCTCATCAGACAGCAAAGAGAGAAAGAACAAAGGACAATAGTGCCACTTCACAAACACAGTAATATAAACATCCTGTCTTCATCACTTCCCACACTGTGGAATGAAAACATACACCGCCATGTGATAGACAACAATCCCATGACTGCAACACGGAGCAAGACTCCTAACAGTTCTGTCTGTGTCCTTTGCCCTACAATTGCCTCCAGATCAATATATTCTATATGGGGGGAGGGGGACTGTGAGAGAAACTCAGTTTCATCTCTCTCTTTATTAAAGAGAAAAACCAGAAATGCTATACATACTTTCATACAGCACAAACACCAAATGGGAGATATCACTTCTGTACCACAACCAAATCTCATTACAGGCACATACATTTATTTCCTACAAACACTCATTCATCTTTGCTTTCTCTTTGCTGCTGGCAACGTTTAGTCAAGATCCAAGAAAGCAAAGTATACCTTTGAAATATTTTTGAAAAGCAATGTAACTCCACTGCCAAAGTGCATAGAAGAGATACTGCTGCTCAGATAAAAGAATTCTAGACTATGAATTATCAGCACTCACCTGACAGTTTGGAATGAGAGCCAGATGAGAAAGGTAGTACAAGGCACTTTCACTGATGCACTTTTATTATCAGCAGTGGTAAGCAGTATTAGCTGCAGCAGTAGTGAGGCTGTTTTTACTGTCATTGTAATAGAAGTGCAGGAGCTTAGTGCCAGGTAGGGCCAACATATTTCTCGCCCAACTCTCAGCTGTGTACTGCAGGTGGGAGTTGTATGCACTGCATACGGAAGCTTGCCAATCACCTGAGAGAGTAACTTTCACACACAGCCCAGGCGCAGCAATTTAGTCCCACTGAGTCCTCTCTACCTACTACTCTCTACTCACAGGAGTGCATCTTTACAGCAAAACACTCTTGGAACATGAATCAAACATACATTCATTGCAAAGGTTAGAGATGGTCCATGAGGTAACTGTGCCCCTGAAGGACCAGGTGTGCAGCCTGAGAGTCATTTTGGATTCACAGATGTCCATGGAGGTCAATTGTGTTTCCAGGGCAGCTGTCGACCGGCTCCATCTGGTATGCCGGCTGACACCCTACCTGCTTGCGCACTGTCTTGCCAGAGTGCCCTGGTTATTTCCTGCTTGGGCCACTGCAATGCGCTCTACGTGGGGCTACCTTTGAAGGTGACATGGAAACTACAACTAATCCAGAATGTGACAGTTGGGCTGGTGACTGGGAGCAGCCACCGGGACCATATAACACCAGTCCTAAATGATCTACACTGGCTTCTAGTACATTTCCGAGCACAATTCAAAGTGTTGGTGCTGACCTTTAAAGCCTTAAATGGCCTCAGTCCTGTATATCTGACGGAGTGTCTCCAGCCCTATCATTTAGCCCAGACACTGAGGTCCAGCTCCAAAGGCTTTCTGACAGTTCCCTCACTGTGAGAAGTGAATGTACAGGCAGCCAGGCAGAGGGCCTTATGAGTAGTAGTGCCCACCCTGTGGAACACCTTCCTATCAGATGTCAAGGAGATAAATAACTACATAACTTTTAGAAGACACTTGAAGGCAGTCCTGTATCAGGAAGGTTTTTATATTTGATGTTTTATTCTGCTGGAAACCGCCCAGAATGGCTTGGGCAACCCAGCCAGGTGGGCAAGGTTTGAATAAATTAGTAGTAGTAGTAATATCATCAGTGAAAGCTTTATTTTCACAGGTATCGCATAAGCCACTGTGGACATTTCGAAAGTATGCATAACTTTTCAGTGAACTAGTCATGGTTGCATGATATGGTCCACATTTCACCTAAAGCCCTCCAAGTGATTCCCTTCTAAATTTAGAGTGCCTTAGTGGTTCAAAGGTATGTTTCCATGTTTTCCCCCATAGCATTTCTCATCTGTTAGTAGGAATATAAAGTTAACAGAAGCTGTCTTGTGAAATAGTGGTTCTAGACCACACTGTATACCTGCAGCATATATACTTCCACAGGGATGTGGGTGGCGCTGTGGTCTAAACCGCTGAGCCTCTTGGGCTTGGTGATCGGAAGGTCAGCAGTTCAAATCCATTCAACGGCGTGAGATCCCATTACTCTGTCCCAGCTTCTGCCAACTTAACCATCCAGGGGTCCTTTACCCTTTTACCTTATAGTTCCACAGAGACAAGCATCGACTTCTACCAGCTATTCTTTCCAGTCTGTACTTATTCTTACCACCACATTATCACTACATATGGCTTCTGTTCCTCGACAGCAGCCACTGTAAAGTGCAGAGATAGTAATAAAGATACCGTGACATATTTAACTATAATGTCCCTTTTCACCTGAGGCACATATTTTAAGCACCTGATGGACCTGAAATCTGCCAACTTGATACTTCCATCCAATTTAGGGCGGTGAGGCGGGGGGGAAGCAATGATCATTGGGTCTTCTCCAAGGATATATTCAGAGCAATCTATTCATCTCCTACAATCATTTAGCTACCATAAAATAGGTTTTTAACAAAGGAGAAATTGTGTTTAGTGTACGAACAAAAGCCTGCTAAATCTAATTCTGGCCAGTGCACATCACCACATGGTTTTCTCTTGAAACCCAGTAAAGGGACTTTATTTCAGAACTCATATCTGCCATAACCACTAAGGCAAAGTAGATGAGGGATTTCCATGACTGGAATTCCTAGAGCCTTTTTCTTTGACAAAAAGCAGCAATGAAGATCCCTGATACTGGACAGGGCTGCCGTATATCAGAGAAGGAATTTTAAACCTTTCTTCCTGTGATTTCACCCCACTGAAAATTATAATCCCTGGAGCTATTTGCCCTCTGTGTTCCCTTGAATTTTGCCAATGGGGATTTACAGCAGGTTTGTTGGAGGAATGATAAATTTCAGAAAGAAGATCAGGACCTCTCATATTATGAGTTAATCAAAGCAATATTTAGAAGGGGCAACGTAGCTACTCAAGGCTGAGAAGCAAGAGGCAACTTATTCCCATCCTTATTTGGATATTTGCATTAAGTGTGTAAGTACTAAAGTGGATGGCTACTAATTAAAGCTATTTGCTAGAGAGCTTATACATTTTATATTTCATTTTATTAGTATCAGGCAATTTTAAATTCTTTCCAAAAACCCAGACTATTTACCGGTAAATCATATCTGAAACTTGAATATATTGATTAGCAAACAGAAAGCCTAGTTTACTAGATCAAAGCTAAAAGTCATTATTTCCTCCTCAGAAACCCCATCTTGAATTCAAAGGAAGCATTTTTAACTTTCAGAAACTACATTTAAGGTATACTTTAAGAAAAATAGCCAGCTATCAGAATGAGATGAATGTTTCAGTTCAAAACTAATTTACCTGCTCTAAACCAAGACTGAAAAGTGCAACAGTGTAGGAAAGAAGAAATTAGTTTACAAACATGTTTGAGAAGATGATAAAAAAAGCAGGCTGTACAGCTGCTTCCTCACATTTTGCTAGAATGCAAACTGTATGCTCTTCTACAGTATTCACAGAGGCTACAGATTTTCCTGGTTTTGTCATTTAAACCCCAATCTTGTAGATTCCCCTAAACAGTATGCAAATGAGTCCCCAAATGTCACTAGGTTGGGCAACTAACTTCTTACACGTCTACTCCATGTAGAAAGCTCAGAATACACACACCTACTCAAAGCTAGCTGAGACTATAATGTAAGGAAGGAATAAGTCAGTCTTTTCTTCAAAATGAATAGGCTAGAGAGCTAAAATAAAATTCCTGAACCACAAGTGTTTCCCCCCACTCCAAATAATGCATTTTGCCTCCTTACATTATCAGTTACATACAAGAAAACGCACTGCTATTCTTCAACCACAATTAACCTTTACATTCAGTCAGGTGACGTTCATACAGTGTCATGGAAACTTGCACGCTACTGAGTTAGATAATAGGCAGTAAAGCTCTAAAAAGGCATGGCAAAGCCTGAGACAGTTAAGTAGCTCCTCAGCCAAGGCACCTCTGCAGCAAGCAAATAAGAATTCATATTGATTCCAGGCCAGCAAAGATTGGTTCAGATCATCAGATGTAAGGATACGTGCTTCTCAGACATCTCCTATTTGTTTCAGCTGCAGGAATGCTGAATATGGGGGGCTGACACTTTCAACCAAAGAAATACTCAAGACTGACAAAATGTTTTGAAATTAATTCCTGTGCTCTGGTGTTTATCCATCATTACAAAATGCAGGCACGGCTCGTACCATGTGCATTTTTTCATAATTGTAATTCTGAAGCATATGCGAGTCTTGTCTTGAATCTAATAAACTTTGTTGGCTATGGCTATAAGAGGTCTGCTTAACTAGATATTTAGAATGCAGTAGCATTTTTTGCATGTTGCTCTCTCTTTCACTTCCCTCCGTTAAAAAAATAAACAGTATAAAATCCTGGCATAAAAAATAGCACCACTGACACTAATTGCCCATTATCATATAGATGGATAAAGAATGGCAATAGCTGCTGCTTGTGGCTTGTCCCATACAAAGAATATATATTAGTCATATTCTGTGTTTTAAGGTGCATATGCTAGCAGCAGCACCTCTGTTTCAAACTGCTCTCTATTTTCAGATATCATGGAAGAGAGTTTTCTTTACAGAGAAGGAAAAATCCTCCTGTTTAAACACAAGCACATTATAAGTATTAGGATGGCATTCTTCCTCAGATCTCAGAATCTTTAGACTGACAAATCAGGTAAATGATTATTCACATTTGAATTGGGTAACAATACTTTCGCCCCGGGGGTGTCAACTTGAATAAAATATTGGGGGAGCCCAGGTAAGGCCCCACACACATAAGTGATCACATGACATGGCGCGCGCGCACACACACACACACACGAATAGCAATGCCTATTAATTTTTAAGGGGGACCACCCAAATATTTTATAGGGGGGACAAAGGGACCTTGGCCCCTAGGAGTTGGCTCCTATGTCTCGTCCTAACATTGCTAATTTAATTAACAGCTGTTGTGTGAAAAAGTTATTACAATATACAGTTGCACAATTATATATCTTACTTGAAGAAGTTTTTTATATTAAACTTAGAAGCCTATCATAAAACACTGAAGGCTGTGTCCAACAATGCCACCTGTGGAAATCGCCAAAAACTGGTTTATTCCCCTTACTGTCAGCTGAACAAGGCTATTAGATGCACTCCTAGGATTATGTTTAAATGCATTTCATATATAAACCTACATAAAGTGCTGAATCCAAACCCTTGGATGGCAGTGATGGGATTAATAGTGTGCTGTGAATACCACCACATCCACAACGCTACTGCTCACACCTTCCAAGGTGGAAGGTTGGGCAGAGGAAGGAAGGGAATTCTCTTTGCTGTGCCAGTGAAAAGGCTTGGATGGGGCCTGTTGCTGGCATGTGATGGCTGCACAACATAGCTGTCAACTTTTCCCTTTTCTTGCGAGGAATCCTATTCGGAATAAGGGAATTTCCATTTAAAAAAGGGAAACGTTGACAGCTATGCTGCACAGGATCCAGCAGGTCCTGTCCTGGTTCAATCCTACCCCTTTCCTCCAAAATGCCCTATTTTAGAAGTCCCCACTAGCTATCATGTCTGTCCACTATTTGTCTGGGCAGGGGGTATCTCTGCCTCAACCAAATCCACTGTAGTACAGCATTGCTCTGCAAACCACCCATCTCGTAGCTTAGTTAACAGACTGCCAGTGGTTTATAGATTACTTGAGGAGTATATGAATTCAAACCCATAAGTCAGCCAACGTTCAAGATACATCCAAATACCACCCAATGTGAGCTCTCAACAGAAGAATCATCACTCCATTATTCTTTTGAACAGCTCAATACATTCATTTTCGTTTTTCTCAATACTCTCTCCCACGTAATGATTTAAAAAGCTAGAGGTTAGTAATTAAGCTTGCTGGAGGATAAAACAATTTATTTAAAGATATTGCAGAAATAGTGCTTGCGTCTATCATTTGGATGCTGAGAATTTATACAAAAGCACTATTTCAGAAATACCCATAAACAAGCTCCTTTAAAGAAATCATGCCCTTTTGTCAGAATTGCCATGCCTCCCAATAAACTGTTCACAGGCAGTGCTGAAAACATCATTGATTCCAACTCAAAGAACAACGGAATAATCAGACAAAGTATTAATTTCAGTTCTATTCACTTTTTTAAAAAAGCAATGCATTATTCTAGTTGCAGAAGGCAGCATATTGGAAAGGTTACATTTTGTTACTTTAAAAAAAAATCAAGTAGGACAAAACAAATAAATTAGGGTAGTGAAGTACCAGGATGATGACCATTGTTAGATCGTCTGTTTTATGTCCCAGTGTAGTTAAGAATGTCTTGTACCTTCTTGTTAACACGCATTGAATCCCAACTTGGAAGAAAGGCAGGATATAAAGTAATAATAAGACCTCTACAATAACAGTACTAAAAAGTCACGCTCAGGCCAGGAAAGCACTGAGACAGAGGGAAAGTTTTTTTTTATCATTAAGTCCTCTCTATTCAATTACTATTTATCTGGGTAATTAAACACTGGGAAAGGATGCCAGGCTAATTGTTAGATTATGATAATTACCTGTCTCTGCTGTGCTGCAATGATCAAAATAAAACATGGATACAGGCATAGAGTTGCGGCTGCTCTGTAATCGTCAGGCTTCCATGGGAAACCAGGCCGTTTATTACTTTTTCATTACAAAACCAGGCAGAGCAACTTATCATTTGTAACTTCTCTCATTCCCCCCCCCCCCTTCACTTGCTCTGCTGGAACAAAACTCCCAAAAGGTTGCGCCAAAGCTGTTGTCTCTGATTGGCCCACTTCCATCACAATTACACAGTTGAGCAGAATCAGGTCCCTGTACTTGAGAGACTTCATCAGACCTGAAATTACTGCCTTATAATAGACTGCAACAACCTATCACATTTTCAGGAACAGCCAAGACTATCTTGCTACCCAATTTCCATTGTGCCAACGAGTCAAAGATCTAGCTTCACCCTCTTATTCCTATTGTAACCCTGCACTGGCACCTGAATGCTTCAAATTAGTTGGATCATATAAGTGGGATGCAATCAGCAACAATGGAAGGGTGGAGGGGTGGGTAAACAGTAATGATTTATTGCCGAAAATGAGCACTAAGATCCCTTTCTATCTCAGTTCATAGAAAACAGCCTAAAGATGGATCAGCTTCTGCTATGATCACCAAGCTTTTAAGCAGTTAAATAAAATCCACTTCATCTTATCAAAACTTCAGTCCAGCTTCTTCCTTTTTTTAGAATACTGAAATATAAAACACAAGGGACATTCTATGGAACAATGTAAACCGAGCAGCATGCACAAAAGTGGGGTGCCAATGCCTGCTGTCCCTTTCCATAATAATAGGCCTCTCATACACATTGCAGTGCACAAAGTAGGGCCAGGAATAGCCCTGATTGTAAAAGCTACTCCTAACTGCTCATAGGAAAAGCTACCAGAAACCATTCCTACTACAGTACTGCAAAATGTCTACAAAAACAACAACAAAGGGTTGCTTCATTTTCATATCCAACAATAAAAAAACAATAAAAAAACAATTTTCATATGCCAATGCTGGGCAGTCAACCAAAGTCTGCCTACTCTATCTACTAGGCAGACTGATTAAAGCTGGGCAGCCTTAATTTTATGCCTGCAAGAAATATGCCAATAATGCAGGAGCATCCTCTGCATATTTCGAACCAAGAGACACCTGTATTATCCTTTCTTGCACTGTATTTAAAGACAGAATCAACTGAAGAAGAGCAGCAACTCATAAATAAGAGCCTTGGGTTTGAACAGAACAATAATGATCAACAGTGGCGACAGAATCATGGGTGGGCGCAATAGCTACTGGAAAGCTTTTAACATGCTATGTCCTTTTCTCATCAAAACCAAGCTACACTGCGTGAAAGGACATGCAAATCAACAAAACTAAGCTAAGTAGAATGATTTTTAAGGTAGTTATTTATTAAAAGTGCAAGCTTGTTTCTTGAATTATCTGTGGTTCAATCCCATACCCATAACTTTTCGTACAGCTGGATCTTGTATCACAGCCAAACACCGCAGAAAGCAATATACATAAAGAGATAATGTAAGCATAAAAAGTTACTCTTTCCATAACACACCACAACAACAGTCAACATTTACTTCCCATCTATAAATCTAGCCACTTTAGCACCAACTGGTCAAATACGGGAACACTTTTATGCACTTAACACTCTTATCTTCTCATGAACATCCCTTCTCTCCCTTTCCTCTCTTCTTTTGATCAAACGGTACTTTCCAGAAGAATGTACAAGAAAGGCAACCGCTCTTCAATGTAAACACACATAAGCCACCTCTTGATCTTTGGGACTTCTTGTCCCATCCTTAAGAAGTGTGTGCATGTCCAGGCCGCGGGGCTTCAGGAGAATAGTTGTGCCAAGGCAGATGGATGATAAAGCAAGAGGGCAATCAGGGGCACATTCATGCTGTGTGACATGTCAGAGCATCGATTCCAAGGAGATCAAGCTCTCATCCTCAAATTCTCCCAGCTCCAATAGCTTTAATCCCTGCAATGGCAACCTCTACCTGCCTATTGATTTTTCATTGCTGTGGGCATTTAGCTTAGTGAGGGGGATGGAGAGAGATGGGAGGGGGAAGAGTACAAGACAAGCTTTTATTCTTTCAAAGGCATCATTTAGACTTATGAGCTGAACTTTAGTATCGATGGCCCGAGTCACATAAACTGCAGGCGATCACACCCAAGCAGATACTGAGGTCCATCAGCGATCGCTTGCAGTCTGTTTCCAAGCTACAGAAACCCAACATCCAAGTCTATGCCAACTTCTTTGCCAGGCTGATTTACAGATATGCGCTCTCATGAATTTCAGTTCCCAATTACTTCCTTCACATTAGTTCTATCCAGTAGTACTTAGGGTCTGACTCACAACATTTATTCCACTTTATTTTTGGCAGCAGCAAGGAAGCTCATAATTAACCACCACAGATTTTGCTGTCAAATGCTAGCAGTGTTTGCATGCCTAAACCACGGCTTAGTGCTACATCAGTGAGCCCAAGGCAACCATCGGACTCATATACTCCCCCCCTTCCTGCACAGCTGGGAGGAGGAGCTTTGTAGAGTTGTTTCTTTTTTTTAGCTACCCTAAGTTCCAATCTACCTTTCTCCTACTGCTTTCCATCTATATTTTACCCAGATTTAGGTATTAGTCAAATGTTCTTTTCAGAAACGTTCTGCCTTCCCGAATATCATGTGCTCTAATTAGGGATGGAAGGCAGGGACAGGCAAGCCTGCTATTGAATTTCTGTTCATGCAGTGTAGATAACAATATTTAGCAACCAACAGTGTATTACATCCTATCACTTTAGAACATACTGGTATGCATGTATATAATTGTCTCTGTAAATATGTACATAATTTGTTATTTTGGCCATTGATGTCTATGATGTCTATTTTTAGGAGAAACAAATAAATGTGTACATTAGAATATTACACAGAGGGGGGAGTACATGTCTGAACCCTACATTCCACAACTAATTATATCATAGCATAATACAAAAAAATGCAGTGAACTGATATTAAGACATTATAACTCTTTGATTCCTACATTAAAACTTCAGTTCTAAGAGTTAATTGAGAGGCACAAAACAGCAAAAAGGAAAAAGCACCCATGGGTATGGTGCTAAACAATGCAGACATGAGCTGCATAACATGTGTTGACCATGTGTCTAACTTAAGAGCTACAGTCCATCAGATTTGATGGAATGCGACAATGATTGGTATTTGTTAACCCTGCCCCGAGGCATTCACTGACATCTATTAATGGTTATGGAGAACAATGGCCCATCTGCAGAAAGGTCTTGCTTTTCACACTCAAAAAGCCAAAAGGAAAATCACTTGCACAACATTCATAATGACCTTCAGTGCGATTGATTCATATCAACCGTAATTCACATTGCCTTTCCCTAAGCAATTTACACAGACACTGACACCAATAGCTTTTATAATTTGTATTTCTACTCTTCTATACAATATTATTGATGAATGAGAATGAAGCAAATCCAACAGGAAAAAGTCTATTAAAATGCTTTTCTGAAACTTACAGTAATTAGGTTCTTAGGTCCTCATTTTAACATTGCATAGTATGTAACAAAAAATAATGACTGCGACTGTCCACATATACATCTGTGCAACATATCATATATATATATTAAGAAGCCTTGTATACAAGTTTTGAAAACAAAAACTAACCAGCTCACACAACATAAACCACAGACAGCATAAAACTGGTTAACTCCAATCTTACACAATTGCACACCATACTTAAACACTGACACAGACTTTTGATTGCAACAAGAAGTCAAGTTTATGAAGCTGTTCTTAATGTTCCACCAACAAAGACGACTTTAGTATGTTTCTACCTGAAATCCTGCTTAAAAATATCTTCTTCCAGTTCCATGCCTCCTCTGACAGATCTGCTGGTGCATAAATCCTAAGGTATGTCCCCTTACCATGTTCATGACACAATATATTAGTTCCAGCCCACTTTCAGGAATGGGGCTGGCTTATGGAAGGCCATATGGAGTAAGGAGCAAGACTCCTTTGATTGAACCACTTCATTTTGGGTATGCAAATATTCTATTGAATCCTCCTGAATTCAATGACACACTAACAAAAATGTCAGCAGTAATTCCTCTGAAGCACATCTGTAGCAAAATGTTCTATGTAAACTGCAAGTAATGTGCACATTTTTATATTGTATTGTCATATGTAGATGTGAATCATTGTCTTTACTGCACCCATTTTTATTTATAGGCTGCACTTGTAGATTAAATCCAGGTTTGATTTTTCCCCCAGTGAAATTTGCAGCATTAGAGGCATGAACATAAAATCTACCTTCAACAGTTTTCATCTGTTGAATATTCTGCAATGAGCACTAAATACCGCCTTCCTAGAATTGCTTCCTGCTGTACAAGATGAAGATGACAGAATGCATTTTGGGACACTGCTCTGTATGCAGAGCCCAATGATACTCTTCGGGCCTTGCTGGTTCCCGGTCTCTCTCCAGGCCTTCTTGGTTCCTAGCCTCTGAATAATTATTTTAAAAATACCTTTCAATCATTGTCCCCTTAGAAATGAGGAATTGTTGCACCCAGAGCATGATTAGAATAGTAGATTGCCACGAGGGACTAGCATTCAAGATATTTTTAATGGAAATTATGTCTGGGTCCATCACTCACCTGAAGTTTTAGTTGAAACATTTGTGAAAAGGTCTTAAAAACTAGAGCGTAAAGCATTTCCTGAGCAGCCACCATTATGTTACCTCCTTTGCACAGTAAATGTACATTAGACTTTCCAAGTGCTGGCCAATCAATGATCTTAACCATGACAACCTTTACGGCTTAATTTTGCACAGTGTCACAGTTTGAAGGCCCCAAGAAGTTGTCTCTTTGCTGCCTAACACCTGCTGTGGGAATTTTACAGCACAGCACGCATAAGCAAACCTGTTTTACACCTGCTTTCCTCAACTAAAACCCAATGGTAACAAAAGATCTGCAGAGTCTTGTTTGAATGATAAATCTCCTTCAATTTGAAAACTACAGGGAGGCAATTAGGTCTTCCAAGTTCCCAGAAGCAAAAGACTCAAGACTTTGGCCTTCACCAAACCTTTAGGCAATATATTCAGCAGATGGAAGTCTTTTTATATCCTCAACTTTCTTCTGTGAAAAGGACGTTTTACTTTATAAAGGGCATTTGTTATTTTATATACGAAAACCTTTTTTCTAAAAACTTCCATTGCTCATGCTGCCCATCCAGATGTGGCATGCTCCTTTGTGGAGTACAAACATTGAAAGCCCAGTTTGATTAAGGTGAGATGGGTGACTGCTGTCTCTCATGGCTAGAAAGGAAGAATTGGGAGCGATCTCACCCACCCACCAAAGTGTTCTGCAGTTTGATCTACATCCCCACTTACACGATACACCCACGTGCCTCTGGTTGATTACTGTAGGAAAACTAGAACTCTGCAGGACCCTGAGGCCAACTGCTGTTGGTCCCTATTGCACCCAGCAAATTTTAAATTATATCCATTAAACACATGTTATTGTACTTTAAAAGAAAAAGGCAAGCCAGACATACAGGCAGATCACACATTTCAATTCATGAATTTCAGAGCATCAATCAGGTGTTTAAACTCAGCGGTTATTGTCAAGTCTGGAAGGCTCTTTCTTTTGAAAGACAGCAAGTTCCTTCAGTCTGAGTTTAATATAAATAAGTATGCACAAAATCAAGCACTTCAAGGGATAAAAAGAGTCCTAATGACAGCAGGTGGAGTTGAATACAGACTATCGAAATACTTGTTGGCATGATTCAAGAGTGCTCAAGGCCATCTGATGCTAAGGGCCATATGAGAAATCAGCAGAGACCTAACCTAGCTAATTGTCTCCCCTGATTGTGACGGCTCTGATTAGAAGAATAATCAGCTCTCAGCAGCCTGTAGGCAAAAATGCCATCCAAGGGTTTTCCCCCCTTTATGATGATGCAGAGCAGAATGAATTCCAGATCTCATCATTACTGCACTTTTTCAACACATTAAAGGAGTTTCTATATGAACAAAGAAAATAATTCCCTTCATAATTAGCTAAAATATTTCGCTCCTGGTTTTGTCCCCCCCCCCCATTTTTCTTTTCTACAACAGCTTTCCTACAGAAAAAAGAGATAGTGCCTGGATACTGATACCCAATCTACTTTCCACAGTCACAAAACATGCTTGTGTCGCTCTCATGATGAGGCGCATCATAGTATAAGGAGGCTTATTATCTGTGTCTACTTATGATTAGATGAGGAGTGCAAATGTGCTCCCACAGGGTGTGACATTAAAGCAGTTGCAGGTATAAAATTTAAAACACTTCCCACATAAAAAGATGTTATGCCTACATAGAGCGAATACCCTACCAAGATTGGGAACAAGATTGGGAACATTTTCTCATGTGCATTTTCAGAGATGTTTAAGCATTATATATTCAGTACAGGCCATGGCCGATTTATGTGCAACCAATAGACGTGTGACATCAACTGGTTGTGTATCGCGATGACCCAGAAGTGGCCAGAAAGAGGGGTGGAATGGGGGCGGGGGTAGAACAGGGTGGAGTGGGCCTGTGTGTATTCTGTCATCATGCACAATGACCCAGAACACAACCCCTGCACAAATAGAGGGTTGCCTATGTGTTAACACTAACTATGGGTTTGGTCAGAAGCTAGGTTGCTGTGTCCCACCAAGACTTTCCTGGTAACCCACCAGCTCTCCAACCCAATTTGGCATTCCCTATGAAGCTACCGGGATGCAAGTGGCGCTGTGGGTTAAACACAGAGCCTACGACTTGCCGATCAGAAAGTCAGCGGTTCGAATCCCTGCAACGGGGTGAGCTCCCGTTGCTCGGTCCCTGCTCCTGCCAACCTAGCAGTTCGAAAGCACAGCAAAGTGCAAGTAGATAAATAGGTACCGCTCCAGCGCGAAGGTAAACAGTGTTTCCGTGTGCTGCTCTGGTTCACCAGAAGTGGCTTAGTCATGCTGGCCACATGACCTGGAAGCTGTATGCCAGCTCCCTCGGCCAATAAAGCGAGATGAGCGCCGCAACCCCAGAGTCGGTCACGATTGGACCTAATGGTCAAGGGTCCCTTTACCCTTTACCTTATGAAGCTACCAACATGAGTTTGACCAAACTGCGGGAGGCAGTGGAAGGCAGGAGTGCCTGGTGTGCCCTGGTCCATGGGGTCACGAAGAGTCAGACACGACTAAACGACTGAACAACAACAAACAACATGGAAAAAAAGGACAGAGAACTAGTGGGAACTACATGCTGTTGCCACCTTTGGCTTCTTTGAGTGGAAGGGGATATAAACTGAATTACCTAATAATGATAGTGATGGTGAGGATCCTCACTGTGATGCTGAGAGATTTCAGATCACCCCTTCCCCATGCTAAAGTTCAATAATCACTGAGCAGGAAAGCTGGCAGTACTTGATCTATCCATCTGTCTGTGTGTGTGGTAGAGAATACAGATTTTCCTTATGAATTTGGCCTTATCAAATAATTTTTTTAAAAAAAACAGAATCAGAAAACCGTAAGTAGCGCTGAAATTGTATAGAATGATACAATGTCTAGGGCTTCAATCCTAACCCCATTTACCAAGAAGTAGACTCCACTTGATTCAATAGGATTTAGTTCTCAGCTGGCCTGCTTAGGATTGTGCTGTAAATTAACATCTGTAAATGGGCAAGCATTACATGTAACTTGAAGTAATCTTTAACAAAAATCTTTCACAGGTAACATATTAAGACCCATTAGTGATTTTTTAAAAAAAATTAATCCCTTCCCTGTTTGTGGCTTCTCAGTTCCGTTCAACCCTTTATAGCTTTTATTCCTTATCCCTAGAAAAGCTTCCAACTAGAAAAACAGCATATATTTTGAGTTTTGCCTGCTTGTTATTTTTCTGCTGTACTTTACCTCTTCTGCTTTCAGAATATAATGACTTCATCTTTCCATTAGTTGTTTTCAACAGGAGAAAATCACAAGTATTCCTTTGAATGCAAAGTAATATGCCACAACAATTATGGTTTCTAGGCTAGCAATTTCATGAAGCACATCTTGTCATTTTATCCTGCAGCATGGCAAGCTTGTTACTCTTTGTATATTTACCCAGAAATGTGTAGTTGATCACACATAACCAGGGGAAACCTAACACAAACTGGAGAGAACATTCTTTCTTCCCTTTGCAGCCCAACATCTTTTTGCAACGAATGCAATTTAAGTTCAGGTGCTGCATATGTTTTGACAGAAAGGTGATGCATGACCTTTCATCATAAATAACTAAAGATTTAAATCATTAAGATTAACACAATGACGTGCTGCTCGGGAATTTTTACCCTTCTGCCAAGTGATCAATTGATACTGTAATGCTAACTACATGACAGTAAGCCATGAGACAGCTATAAAAAGGTAAAGGTAAAGGACCACTGACAGTTAAGTCCAGTCGCAGACGACTCTGGGGTTGCGGCGTTTGTCCGCAGACAGTTTTTCCAGGTCATGTGGCCAGCATGACTAAGCCGCTTCTGGCGAGACCAGAGCAGCACACGGAAACGCCGTTTACCTTCCCGCCGAAGCGCTGCCTATTTATCTACTTGCACTTTGATGTGCTTTTGAACTGCTAGGTTGGCAGGAGCAGGGACAGAACAACAGGAGCTCACCCCGTCACGGGGATTCGAACTGCCGACCTTCCGATCAGCAAGCCCTAGGCTCAGTGGTTTATACCACAGCACCACCCATGTCCCATACTTCAAAGTTATACTTTGAAGCTATACTTCGAAGTTGTATTTCGAAGCTATACCTCGAAGTAAATATGACACCCTGGAAGCAGAATTTGGTAAATGAACCTGGAAAATCATGCATTGAAATAAATACCAGTTCTCCAATAGTTCTTACCAATAGTAATGTGAGTGAAGGACGGGCAAGGGATGGAACATAACCAACTTCTGGTATCACCCTTGAAAGAATCCCCAATTTGACCAGCAAACAACATGGTAAAGTATCTATACTTGGAAACAAATAGGGGTTTCTATTTCCAACTTTCTCTCTTCTTTCCAGCATACGAGACAAACATGAAGAAGCATTTTATACAGTAAGCCCACCCATAGTTGTTAGTCTACTACTGACAGGAAATGTTAAAACAACAACTTTTTTTTTTACCCCAATAAGCGAAAGGAATATCACTATGTTTATTTGGACTCGGCTGCTAATGCATGGGACGCTAACACAGTGCCTGTAGGCATAGATGGCTTTTTCCCAGTACCCATAGCATCCCACTCCTTACCCTGCTGAAATTAAACTCAGAAGAAGCATGCTCAGTGTTAGAAACTGAGATACTAAAGCCAGGAGCTAAACGGCACCTTGAACCTAGGCTTTGGGCGCAAAAACGGAATCTATAGGCACACCTTTTTTTTTTTGTAACAAGAATACAAAGCTGAAAATGAATGAACTGCAGCTAAACTATTATGTTCGTTTTTCACATGGTCTAGTCCTTCCCCTGCCCACCCCCCTAATATTCTTAAGAGGGTCTCTCCTCCAGTCTTCAGAGAGTAGCTGGAAGTGGGGAGGCAGAATAAGGTCCCCCTTTCCTTCCACTCTGCAGTATTAATCTGAAATCTTAGGTGCAGTACTGCCCCCAGAGCTCAGAAGCTGCTCGCGCTAATGAAATTCCCTGTTGCAAAATGCACCTAGAACAATGGGAGTTTCGAACACTGAGCATGCTCATGTAGCTCTTCCCCTGCTGTAATTCCCACCCTCAATATTCCCTCTCCCCCTGCAACGAGGCTGGGAAAAAAGCCTTCCACTGGCTCAAATAGATGGCTTTTTCCCGAGGCTAATGGAAGCAGGCATGTGGGGGGGGGGGGAATCTTCCTCAGACTGCAGCAGGTCTGACATGGTTGAACATTGCCTCTCCAGTTGCACACTCCATGAGAAATCACCCCCTCCCAATAAAGCTTGGGAGTAGGGCAGTGAGTGTGTGTTCATGTGCCTGGTTATAATGAGTAGGGCTGAGTGATATGTTGATATATACCATGATATATATCGTCCAAAACTGGTTTGAAGTCCATATTCTGATATTGATTTCATAGTTTTTGACCTGGCAAATAGATCACAAATCATGTTGTGTGTTAGGGCTAGGCAATATATCATCCAAAACCGGTTTCAAATCCATTTCATGATTTTCGACCTGGCAATATATTGCTAATCATGATGTGTGTGTACGTGTGTGTGCTATGCAAAAATCACAATGTGGGGAAAACCATGAAGCTAGCCAATGCCTCTACAAAGCTCCATCCTTATTTCAGACATTGTGATATATCAGTATATCGCAATGTTTAGCTGGTGATATATCGCGATGTTGAAAACCCAGTAAGTGTATGATTGTGTTGAGTGTGTGCTACCACAACCGTTTCTCTGCTTTTCAAACATGCCCACAGTCCCAAAAATATTGGCAAAGGGGTTTCTATCCTGAGGAAGATCAGCAGAAATGTATGTTTAAACTCTGGCAAAATGTATTGCCGGAAACAGAGAAGGAAATAGATAAATATGTGGAGGGAAAGTAATTCAGACTCTGTTATAAACCTAGTATGTCAGGAGCACTGCCTGTTTTCTCCCAAATAAAGCTCTTAATTTTCTTCCCTGCCTCAAAGATGGTATGCAGGCAAAAGCTTGTTTTATTCCCCAATTCTTCCCTCCACACAGACATACAGGGATTTAAGAAAATCAGTGGTGTCTCCTTGCAGTTAGAGCTCAGAGCAATTTAGTAATGGAAATTTTCTTCACTTCACTCAGTGCAAATTGCTTTTCCCCCCTCACAAGATCCCCAATGAACTGTAAAAGCCATCACTTTGGTCCAGTTAGCATCTGCATCCATTCAGAACCAGCATAATAGAGACCACAATGATTTATTGAAGCAGACTGTCCATTCTTGAAAAAAATTAAAATAAAAAGTCACCCATTTAACAGAAAAGAATGCCTCCAATTGCTCCCATGCACATTACATTTTACTATATCTAATGAATAAATCTGATCCTATTGACAAACATAGGTGAACTTCCATTTCTTTTCATATGCATAGTCATACTGCAGACTCCCCCTCCCCCAGTATGAAATGTACTAAACACAAGGGGTGATTTATATCTGCACCTAATTAAACAATTTTTAAAAGCTGTCCTGGCCCAGATTTGGCTTCTAATGACGTGTGGGTAAGGAGAAGCAAGCCAATGGAAAACATCCGTATGAAAACATTATGTGACAAAAGAAATCTTGATTTTTCTTAAATCCTTAAGTTCTTTAAAAAAAACACAAATCCTTTCAGATGATTCGTAGGTATTTTAGCAACAATAACTAATTTTAGTAACAAGTACTAAAGTAAAATCAGAAACATGCAACTTTCAAAGACAACTGTTGCTTTTTAAAGTAACTTGTTGGATTGTGAAATGGATTTGAAAACAGTAGACCATAAAACATTGTATCATGCAATGCTTGCTACACTCAGCAAAACATTGTCGAAATATTTCCGTGTGAAACAACTTTCCAAGTAAAGGCAATTCCTTTTGTGGCAGATTTACTCAAGCTACATAACCTTAGTAGTATGCTAATGTATTATGTACCGGTGCATCAGGGCAGGAGAACCTATGGCTCTTGAGATGTTATTAGACTCCAAGTCTTGTCATGCCTGATAATTAGCCCTGCTGCCTGCAGCATCTGGGAGCTGGAATCCAACATCTGCAGGGCCACATGTTTCCCAGCCCTGCCTTAACACTCATGGAAAGTCTTTTGATCCAGAGGATCTCTCTGCTAACCAAAGGGGAGTGGAGGAATTGTTTTGTCTAGTTAGCTTTTTCACTTGCAGCCCCCTCCCATGTCAACTTCCACCAAATTCTCTTAAGCTCATTTTAAAGGGTTGTGGGGACTATAGACCGGAGAGGGACAATCAAAAATTGCCTCCCTCCTCTACTCCTGATAGCAGAGGCATCTGCTGGCTCTATAACCCTTTCATGAGAACAAGGTCAAAAGTTAGATTGCAGCCTATGTTTTGAATGCCACAAAATGGGACCTTTGCCAAAGCAATGACATCCACTTCTCAGTCTTGAATCTGCACTTAAAAGCGGGTTGCTGGGTGAACATTATTTTTGATCAAAGGTCTGCTGAAGTTTCAAACAGTATTTTGTGCAGTCAAAATGTAAATGAGCCAGGGCAGTGCACCAAAAACTTTTTCAACAGGGATATGTTCAAGTTGTTGCATTAGTTTAAAATATATCAGGGTGACTTAACACCAAGGGAGTAACTTCAGTATTCTCAAGACTGTAGGAAGTATGAATTTTGTATTCCTCATAAAATAAACAGGGTTGGAGCTTGGCTCTTTAAAAATACAGGATACAGGATTTATAATATTGGGAACAAACACATTGTAGATAAGTTGCTTGTGCTCCATGTTAGATAAGTTGCGTTTTCCTGGGAAGTAAACAATTGTAAGCAATTTATTTATTTTCCTTTGAAAACCAACCCACCCTAATATCAGGTGCAACTTGTTTTTGGTGTAAACTGCATATTGAAAAGAAAACTGGGTGGGTGGGTGTCTAAACTTTCTTAGAAGCAATACAATCTCTGGAAAGATCAGATAAGATACAATATGTGAGCACACAACCATAATTTTGTTATCTTTAACCAACAGCACTTGGAATAATAATAAGGGCAGACTTCTTTAGGCAATTCTACATATTCAGTGAATGTGTGATGGGAAAGTGAAGAAATGCCAATTGTCTAAATCCCTAATACAGTAGTGCCGGCTGGCCACTCATTTAGGAGCAATGTGAAAGCGTGTGGGAGCATATATACAACTTCTAAAGAAGGCTACAGTGCCCTGTGAATTATGTAAGATATGCAAAAGCAGTGGCAGCATATATGGTGCCCTCCAAGTTATTAGACTACAATCCCCATCATTCCCAATCAGCCATGCTGACGTATGTACAGTGGTACCTTGGTTACATACGCTTCAGGTTACATACACTTCAGGTTACAGACTCTGCTAACCCAGAAATAGTGCTTCAGGTTAAGAACTTTGATCCAGGATAAGAAGAGAAATTGTGCTCCGGCGGTGCAGTGGCAGCAGGAGGCCCCATTAGCTAAAGTGGTGCTTCAGGTTAAGAACAGACCTCCGGAACGAATTAAGTACTTAACCCGAGGTGCTACTGTAAATTATAGTCCATCTGAAGGGTACCATCCTGGAGGCTCTTGCTCAAATGTAAAGAGTTGAGAAGAGATGGATTTGATATAATCTAAAACTCTTTGCCTATATAGGAAGGTGGGTCTCAGGCTACCTGCCCACTTAATTGAATGAGTCCTGTGATATTAATTTCTGTGAAGATGAATACAGATAATTAGGAAATTACATGGAATGCAATGGCATTCACTTATAACTCTTGAATTTACACTTCAGAAGGCTACTATAAGATTCCCCCAGAATTACGTTTGAAAGAATAGTATTGCACTGTGTGTCAAAAATGAAAAAGCAATGTTTCTGAACACGTTCAAGCAAAGCGCACAGTAAAGACAAGACAATGAGATGCATGAATGACTGAATTTCAGAATTAAACCTTTTTGCACTCTAGAGAGCATACTGATCTGCTAGTACACGGTCTTCCTTCTATTCATCTAAATTTCTTTTCGTTTAAAAAAACAACATTTACTACACTGATAAGAAATCATGACTGGTTTCGAAGGATATAAATACAAGATGAATTGCAGCATCAGTACATAAGGCCTAAACAAACAAATCATTAACTAGAAAGAAGAAAGCAAAAGTACAAATTGATTTAGAAGCAGAATACTATGTGATAAAGCCGTAATTTACAATTACTGTGGGTCATGCAGGTGCAATTAAAAGGATGCTCTGTGATAGCATTTTATTCTGGATGAGGCCTTTTCAGGAGAGGCATGTCAAGTCAGTGTCTCTCAACAGAATTACATCCAACAAGCAATTACATGTAGACATGGCCCTCTTCTGCCAATCAGACAATGCAAAGACCTTTTCCAGACCCCAGTTTAACTCTATGCCTGTTACAATGTAAAAGGATTGATTTGTAAAGTGCTAAAGCATCTGGTTTTAACTTAGCTACCGCTTTGTACATATTGATGAGGCAATGTGAGCGTGTATGTGTGTGCAAACATATACTTTTTTCTCAGTGAAAAAGAACTTGGGGCTACAAATCCCAGGAATGCAGGCTTCAACCTTCTTTGCTCCACATCTCCCATTATTGCCTGCTGACTATTTATGCTCATAAGGGAGCGTGAACTATCCATGAGTGCAAAATGGATACAGCACAAATTGATTCAGTAACATCACAGAGACATGTATGAATAATGAGATTCAGTAGCAGTCTGTCACACAGAAAGCATATCGGTCTAACTGATTTATTGAAAACTTGACTTGAGTAAAATCTAATTCATCAGAAAGAACGTATATAAGTAATCTAGTCTTGGTATGCTTTTCCTTCATAGGTGCTTGCTGGCAGAACACATACATTAATTGAAACAGAGATGACATTTCAGTTTCCATATGGTGCTTCCAGAAGAGAAGTAATGGGATAACAGTGCACACACACGCACACCCTTGGGTTTTCCTCCTAGGCACTGTTAGAAACTGGGATAGAAAAGCTAGGAGACAAATGGCTCCTGAACCTGGGTTGTGGGTGCCAAAACAGAATGTCCAGTTGCCATTGGGGGGGGCAGCAACACTTTTTATTTATTATTTCAATAAGTGTGAACTAATACGCAATTCCCATAAGTGAAGAAGAAGAAGAAGAAGAAGAAGAAGAAGAAGAAGAGGAGGAGGAGGAGGAGTTTGGATTTGATATCCCGCCTTTCACTCCCTTTAAGGAGTCTCAAAGCGGCTAACATTCTCCTTTCCTTTCCTCCCCCACAACAAACACTCTGTGAGGTGAGTGGGGCTGAGAGACTTCAGAGAAGTGTGACTAGCCCAAGGTCACCCAGCAGCTGCATGTGGAGGAGCGGAGACGCGAACCCGGTTCCCCAGATTACGAGACTACCGCTCTTAACCACTACACCACACTGGCTCTCTAGTGACACATTGTTAATTGTTAAATTATTAATACACGTTTAATTTGATGTTTACAAGAAAAAGAATGGTACCATACAGCAATTTTCAAAGCACTCTTACTCTTTATTGTTAAACTCCTTAACATATTGCCTATCCTTAACACAGGCATAGGCAAACTTGGCACTCCAGATGTTTTGGGACTACAGCTCCCATTATCCCTGACCACTGGTCCTGTTAGCTAGGGATGATGGGAGCTGTAGTCCCAAAACATATGGAGGGCTGAGTTTGCCTATGCCTGCCTTAACATATACTTCAATACTTCAAAGCACATACATTTCAGTAATCCTTGAGTGTCAGCCAGGCACAGGAAATGGCATCCAGACTTCTGGAGGTACTCACAAATGGAGAATCTTTAGGTGCAAAATGTGCCTGGCCCCTTGCTAATTTCGAACCATGCTCCTAGACTAATGTTGGGGTCTCCCAATTTTCCTGAGGGATTATTAAGTCCCTGGATATTATTTGATTACTTATAGATGAGTACTGAGAACCTGTAGTGTCTCTGTACTCTTATTTTCAAATATACATGCATAGCCTACTAGAAAGAAGCTAAGTCCCCCCAAAAGGCAGCAAAAGTTTGATCTTGTATGAAATTCCCAAACCCAACTATTTGGATCCAGCACCCCACAACTTGACTGGGGGCAGCCTGAAATGAGGGATTGGGGGGGGGGATCTGGTTTGCTTCACGTGTCAATGCAAATCTACCGAATTTTCACTTCCCCAAATAATATAGCTATCCTTTGAAATTCACGCTTCTAAGAATTTTCCAATGCCATTCTTTAACTGAAAGATGTACACAATCATGTGTATATTGGGGAAAAGTGTGCCCCAAACTGTAAAGTTTGTGAAAGTAATGTGGGAAAATGCACATATTAATGAAAATAAGATACAGAAAGTAGTATTAGAGAAAATGGGTATATATGGAGAAATGTGAACTAAAATGTTGACAAATTTTTGTGAGGATTCACAAATTGATGCAGAAATGTCGAGAAATGAACTTAAGATTGGAAAAATGAGAAACTGAGAGAAACCAAAACTGACAGATTCATTCATCCCTATCAAAAATTTCAACTCTGTAACTCATATTTTCTATTATAATAAAGTTTCTGAATCTAAACAAACCACCAAATTTGTCTCAAACTGCAAACTTTTCTTTATGACATGTGTCTTAGGTAAAGGGACCCCTGACCATTAGGTCCAGTCGTGACCGACTCTGGGGTTGTGGCGCTCATCTCGCTTTATTGGCTGAGGGAGCAGGCGTACAGCTTCCGGGTCATGTGGCCAGAATGACTAAGCCGCTTCTGGTGAACCAGAGCAGTGCACAGAAACGCCGTTTACCTTCCTGCCAGAGCGGTACCTATTTATCTACTTGCACTTTGATGTGCTTTCGAACTGCTAGGTTGGCAAGAGCAGGGACCGAGCAACGGGAGCTCACCCCGTCACGGGGATTCGAACCGCTGACCTTCTGATTGGCAAGTCCTAGGCTCTGTGGTTTAACCCACAGCGCCACCCGCATCCCATGACATGTGTCTTAGACAGCATTAAATGAAGGACCGAAATTGTTTATGTGAATAAAGCACATGGGATTTAGACCAGTGAGTTATTTAAGTTATGATTCAGTTTCATCAGGAGAATAATATGAAAAAAGCGCATTTTAAAAAATTAAATCCAATAAGAAGAATTTCAGATGAGTGTTTTTTTTTAAAAGGCAAAGAACATTCAGGCAAGCCTCTATTACCTGATGTTTGGGGTGTCCTTCAGGACCTAAATTTCTTGATTATTCAATCCCTGCCAAATATTCTGAAAGTTTGCATACACAAGATTTAGTATAAAGGAAATGAGAAGCTGTATCGCATGTTGCTAATATTTTTTTTAAAAAAGCAGACCAATATGATACAACGGCAGTTGTATGAATAAAAGGGGCCTGTGCTCCGAGTTCTAACCTTCTCCCCCCTTTTTACTTTCATAAAATGCGTAGCAAATAAACACAAAATAAAACACCTGCTCCAGTCAACTTGGTGTCGATATTTTAAGGTCAACAGAAAGCCTTGTCCACAGTCAGCCACCCACATCGCTGAAAACCACAATGATAAGATTCTAAGAAAAATGTGCTTGCAGGCCATAATGACAAGGTCAACACCTGTGAAGCTGGGATTTTGTTGGAACCATTTTGATGAGTTTCCCATATGCTGCTATGAGTTTTCTTTATTGCATGTTCAATATCAGATCAATTTCTAGTAGAGCATTCATGGTTAGATTATATCAAAAAAACATGAAAATGTTAAATGTGCCTGCTTTTGCTAAGTTTGCAGTGGTATATTTTTATTCCAGAGCACACAGGAAGTCCCTTCCAATATGTCTCCTATCCCAGAAAGTCAGCTGTTCAATATTTTTCTCTTCACGTGCTTGAGTATTTGATTTTACTTGCCAGATTTTCCTTTAAGAAGTTACAGTGATATTTTCATTTGTTTATTTCTAGGCAAATAAGGACATAGAACTGCTTTATACATCATAATAGAACAAATTTTCTTGAGATGAGTATATAGTATGAACAGCTACTACTTTACATTGGGGGCCCTGAACTGTGAACTTGCATATAGAAAAAACCTAAGTGCATGAAACATAACATTTAAAAATTGCAATTTTTTTTAATTAGTGTGCAGTCTTGAAGTAGCCTAGCATATGCAACAAACAAAAAAAGTGTTTGATCCATACTAGATAAATAATAAAACAAACACAACTATATAGCTAGACTGACAGACATTCTAACAGACTGGGTAGAATCCATCAGGACCTTACTGTTTTTGAAAGGCACTTGGATTCAATTTTTGCAGCCCCCCTCTCCCTCCTTCCTTACTGTTCCTTAGGTTCCCTACCCTGAAGAGATTTCTGTTCACACAAAAGGCTGCTGGAAAAATATGCAAAAATAATCTCCCTATTCTGTTCATGAGAGCACCCCTGTCCATGATCATGGATCTCTGGATTAACCTACTGTCTCCAATACAACTAGACCTGAAGTGTAAATAACTTTTTTAGAATCTGCCCTAGGAATGCTTATTTTGTGATTATCAGGTGTTGGTCACCCACTGAGAGTTGGGTGCTTCTGCAAGCAACTGAGAACATTCACCCAGGGCTTTCCTGATCATTCATATCAGCTCCTGGCATTCCTGGTTACTTTAACTATAATTTTATATACATGTGTGTGTGTGTGTGTTTAGAGTGTGATTTTCTTATTTTCTAAAAAAGTGAATTTAGAACTTTTCATACATAACTTTAAGTTTTCTTTATTTTAGTTTTACCCCACTATGACATGCTTTTTCCCTTTCTTGGGAAATGAAAGACAACACTTCACTCCTAAGGAACTATGATTTTAAATGACTCGACCTGCTTTAAAGACGCAAGGGTGCAGTTGTGCTGTGCGATGATTCTGAGAATAAACTGCCTTGTTGGCAGATCTCCCTTAAGTGTAGCTGTAATTTTCTTGCATGAGGTCCACTTTCAACCAATCCAGAAAAGGCATTGTGTGGGAGAGAGAAAAAAGAGAAGGCTTCTACATGAAGGAAAGATATGCAAAGCAATCAATTAAATGCAATTTTACTTGCTGATGCAGCATATGTATTTTTAAAAAAGCAAACATTTTTTACTCAAGAGATGGATACCCTTTGGCTCAATTCAGATAATGGCTCCATAGTGTTTCCATGGAAAACTCTACATTGCCATGGAGTTCCATCAGAACTCTCTAAGTGAACATAAATCTATTTTAATCTGTGGTTTGGAATTCCAATTTTTTTCTGATCATAAACCATAGTCTGTCTCTCTAACAATGTTAATGTTTCAGTAACCATGTACTAATGCATGGGGTGTATGAGGTGTTAGGAGACAGGTGGCGCTGTGGGTTAAACCACAGAGCCTTGGGCTTACCAATCAGAAGGTTGCGGTTCAAATCCCCGCGACGCGGTGAGATCCCGTTGTTCAGTCCCAGCTCCTGCCAACCTAGCAGTTCAAAAGCATGTCAAAGTGCAAGTAGATAAATAGGTACCGCTCCGGTGGGAAGGTAAACAGTGTTTCTGTGCGCTGCTCTGGTTTGCCAGAAGTGGCTTAGTCATGCTGGCCACATGACCCGGAAACTGTACGTCAGCTCCCTCGGCCAGTAAAGCGAGATGAGCGCTGCAACCCCAGAATCATCCGCGACTGGACCTAATGGTCAGGGGTCCCTTTACCTTTAATATCTCTTGTGGAGGACACTCCTTCTGGGGTAGCTTGCCCACCTTTAGTCCCCACCTTGCATTCAGTTCTCACCTGTGGTTCCTAGAAGCTGTCAGCATAGGAAACGGCTTCAGGCTAAACCAGGCTAAACCTGACAGGCTAAACCAGGTGAGGGTAGCCAATGGGTCTTAATCCCTCAGTGAGTTTGGGACTTCCTCTGCATGAGAAGACAGGTTATGGCAGAGTGAGCAGACAAGACCAAGAGTCTGTCTCAACAGTCAAGAAGGCAGTTAGTGCACATGCTGTAAAGGAAAATGAGGGTCAGATGGGGATCGTCAACCTGGGAAGGTAGCCCATCTAGGAGAAGGAAAACTCTGATCCTAAATCTCCGCTGCCTTGCAGCAATAATTCATGAGAAAGGCTTTGGGGGACTTTCAAAAGCCTAATGCAAAACAAAAAAAGGAAGGTTGGTACTTCTAGCTCAAAGACTCATAATTTGAAGCTATAGTATGAAGATAATATTATGTAGGCAAGGCTGCTTTTTGGAAGTCAATTAGGGAGGGGGGAGCCAGATTCTATCCTTATAGTACGTCAAAATATCTGATCAGTCTTGTTTAACATCAGCAAGAACCTGTATCTACTGTATCTTATGAAACATTCTGAATCTTACAGAATTCTTTTCATCCTTCTGTTTGTCTCTGATACTTATTGGCTTGGGAAAACTGCTGAAGGTTTTAAGTTTCATTCTGTACCTTTAAACAAGTTCAAGGTGGAATAATAAGGTGTTTATGAGACAAAACTAATGAGTCACAGAGCAGAAGAAAATGAAGCTTGTTGTTTCTCACTTGTCACTGCACAGTTTGATAAGAAATCAACTCATGCCAGGAAAAATCCTTTATACGGCCATTTCTAAACTATAATTATGTCAGTCAAAGTTATTTTGAGTAGGGGGCTACCCTTCTAGAGGTGTTTTTGAAATATTCCAGTATTGAGCTATCACAGTCCCACAAAATAAGGAGTTCCCCAGGGTTTTTCAAAAAGTCCATTAAAAACTCTCTCTCACACACATTTTTTTTTTTTTTAACACCAACTTCAGAATCAGCAACTCTGGCAAACCCATTGTGCTGAAATTACAGGTTCAAACAAGATTAACTGTTCACCTTCCAGCTAAAGTTTACATGAGCAGCTCAGTAAAATACATGCAGCCCTGTTTGGCTAGTGGACAAACCAGAGTACGTAAAGAAGTTTAACAAAATACATATTCAGTCACCTCTTGCTAATTCAATAAAACTAAGCAAACTACAGAAACAAAGCAAGAATTAAAATAGGAAGGGCAACATATTTTTCCATTCTCTTATTAATTGACAAAAACTGCTACTCATACTCTACCCACAATAAAATTACAGTTTTTGGCCTTCTTGGCTCCTTAGGTAAAAAGATCAGCAGAAAGCCCTAAGATATATCAATGTTAAGTTGGGGTATGGATAAGGTTCTACTGTACATGACTGCCATATTTTTTACTTAACAGAGACCTATAACAGACACACCATCTCTGACTTGCATGGACTTCTCTCCTCTCTAAAACAGAAGGAGAAGCCACTGTTCACCCCATATTTGATATACTCATCAATTTCTTGTTTTTCTAGCTTCTCTAGGCCACATGACACCACTAGCTGGAAGAAGAAGAAGAAGAGTTTGGATTTGATATCCCGCTTTATCACTACCCTAGGGAGTCTCAAAGCGGCTAACATTCTCCTTTCCCTTCCTCCCCCACGGCAAACACTCTGTGAGGTGAGTGGGGCTGAGAGACTTCAGAGAAGTGTGACTAGCCCAAGGTCACCCAGCAGCTGCATGTGGAGGAGCGGAGACGCGAACCCGGTTCCCCAGATTACAAGTCTATCGCTCTTAACCACTACACCACACTGGCTCTCACTGGAGTGATTGCTACTTTCAGAGGTAGGCAACAGATGCTGCTAGACTGCAAACACATCCCATTTCCCATTTCCTTCCTCCTGAAACTTTCTTTACCTCTGGAAAACGCGCCCTTTCCCCCTTTCTCCCAAGGCTTTTGCAAGCTTCTTCTCCCTCTTTAAGATCAGAGTGAAAGAGTGTGGGGATATTCTGGAAAATTTTCCTGCAGATTGAGGACATCACACGATCTATCTGCTTTGCATGCTAAGAGTAAACAACTCCACACTTTTTGTTCAGAAAGGTAAAGGTGATGAGATTTACAAAAGCTTCAACAGTATTTAGACAACCCAAAAATTAGAGCGGGAATCCCAGCTTGGTCCCCAACAGAAGTACCGTGGTACCTTGGTTTAAGTACTTAATTCGTTCCGGAGGTCCATTCTTAACCTGAAACTGTTCTTAACCTGAAGCACCACTTTAGCTAATGGGACCTCCCGCTGCCACTGCATGATTTCTGTTCTCATCCTGAAAGAAAGTTCTTAACCTGAGGTACTATTTCTGGGTTAGCAGAATCTGTAACATGAAGCGTATGTAACCCGAGGTACCACTGTATTCTTTCACCAGAGGGAGTATTGCTGTATACATAATTTATTTGGTGCTGTTCCTTCTAATTCTTCAGTGTGCCTTTTAGAACTGCAACTCTTTAACAGATAGGAAAAAGTTCTTCAATAAGTCTCAATACCTTTAAAAAAATATTGCAGGTGTGTTTGTAAGTTTTCATGTAACAGCTCTTTATCACAATAGTGTGTGTGTCCCTCAGAGGCATATTTCAGATATTTCCAAATTCTGTTTCTCACTCTGCATTCCAGATGTAACCATGCTTCCTTTTTAAAAAATTTAACAACCCTTTATGACAGTGAAATATGAAGAGGTGATGATTTCCTCTGAATTAGGAGGATGTTAACAATTAAGTGTTTATGTGAACATTCCTACACTAATGCAATTATAACTATATTCCACAAAGGGTGCTAGGAAATAATTACTCTGATTCTCAAGTGATAGTTCTAAGAAAATTAGATTCTCAATCTTAAATTCATTAGGTAGGTTCTGCAACTCTGATTACAAGCCTCGGATTGCAACAGTCTTTTTTAGTAATAGTTTCCTTAGTCATTGGAGTGTAAAGTCCTCTGCTTTGCCTGACAATGACTGAAGGCCAACTAGGATTACCAGACATTGCTTATTCCAGACTCTTCCAGTTCACAAGATTCCATAAGTCAGGCAGCCACTAACAGGTGCAGAACTGCACCTTACTTTGGTGGCTTTGAAATCATCCCAAATTAAATCTTAAAGGCAACAAGATTTTTTAGCAAAACACTGCAGTATTCAAGATCCTAGTCTTTTTTTTTTTTTTTACGAAGCTGGGAAGAGTCCATAGACCACACTTCATAGTGGTATCAGCCTTGATCAATCTGCAATAGATGCAAACAGTTTGAAAGATAATCATTATGTTTAAGTTTAGTCAACTAAGTTTATCAGCTCATCTTTGCTAAAAGCTAGGTGAAAACAGCCTGTTTTGCCTGGATATACTCTGTGTTTCCCTGAGCCACCCAAGTCACACCTAATCACATTCCCAACTAAGATAGCTTATTTAGCAATTAAGATAGTTTTAGGAGCTTTACCCAATAGAGGAACTCTGCCTTGGTTTTCTACTTCCACCTGAGTTGATGGGAGCTAATAGAGGCTTTTATACATTATGGTACATTCTAGTCCCATTTCATCTATAATTGTGATGGGTATCAACCAGGGCCATAGCTAGGGGGTGATGAGGTGGGGCCCCGCCAGGGGCACAGGCGAAGGGGAGAACAAAATTGGCTTAAAATATGTCCATAAATATGTCTATAAATAAAAATATTGATTATTGCCTCATAATAAAAGGTTTTAAATAAAAGGTGAATTGAATGGGGGGGGGGTTGGAGGAGAGGCGGAAAGAAGAGCTAATTTGTCCATGGTTAGGGGGCATAATCTGGACGGTTCTGCCGGGGCGCAAGATCACCTAGCTATGGCTCCGGTATCAACACACTTCATCATTTTCTAATCTTTTCCACTGCTACTGTTTCCTCCCTCTCATCTGATTTTCATCTGTCAAGTGATTTAACCTTCCTATTTCCTTCCCCAGTGCATTTGATATTTTTAAAAAAAACAAAAACAAAATCAAAATCTAGAATTTAAAATAAAAGCTTGAGTTTCAAGATTCAATTGTTTTGCATTTCAAGCTATTTGAAATGCTAAATCTTGAAGATGTATAATTTACTCAAGTTCTATCCATCTTTGTTGCCACATTCAGAATTGAAAATCTGCATACAAGAGAAATTTCAAAAGGTTTGGCTTCTTCCATGACTTAAGCACTATAGTTAACAAAGTTGCAATTGATTATGGTTTTCTTCTGTTTAGCTCTTCCGATTGTATAGAAGCTATCTCAGAATTTGGACCTGGGAATTGTTGCAGCTACTTTGAGGCTGCAATTCTATGCTCACTTACGTAGGAGCAAAACCCACTGAATTCACTGGGGCTTAATATTTATATATGTAAGATTGCCCTGTGGTTTAATTCACATTTATTGATAGAAAGATTTTGTGTTTAATAGTAACACGTTTCTGCTCAGGCAGCCAGTGAAGCTCACAGGACAATCAACTCTCTGAAAAAAACCTTTCCTGCCATTTAATCCTATAAATACAGAGCTAAGATTGTCTCCAAAACACTGTTCCAAAGTTACTTGTTTTTGGTGTACTGCTGTATTTGAATTTTTCAAACAGGATCTAACGCCACATCTCTTATGTTGCTAAATCAAAGTCGATACTGTAATTGCTCTCCAACTAGAAATTCTTTGTTATCTTTTAGTGGCTATCACTCTACACTCCCCATATTAAACACACAGGTACAAGATGGACTTAGTCATTAAAAAGAGCTTGCCAAAAGGATGTTAGCACAAGGAATGTGTCAGGTGACAGGGTAGAGTCTCCAAGGACACTGGGATCTGTCAACCTTTGTAACTGTATCCTGGTGGCCTGTCATGGTAAAGTTAATTAGAGACATCTGTAGCATGGAGATCAAGCAAAGGCACTAGTGGCAGCTTATTTGCACTAGAAAGGTACGACTCATGTGGGAGGTAAAAGGAATAGAATCACCAACAGATATGGATCAGTAACATGAGCCTGAACAGTTATCTGAGCCATATTCACTTCTGAAATACAGCTACTTGATTCAGTGATGCGAATGCAGAGCTGATGAAAAGAGTGAAATACACTGTTAGCAAACACTTTGATATGATGGAATTTTAACACTGTAAATGGAGTTCTAAGCCACCTGCCAGCACTTTTCATGGAGTCCATTCTACACTGGCTTACAAGAACTTTTTGTGCTTATCTTTCCCTTTCCATTGTCCATTCAGCCCTTGTTTTTTGTAGCACATGTTGGCTTTCTTCCTATGATAAATCTGGAAAGGCAATGCTGGACTCCTAAACAAGCTTTGTGCAACTCTTCCTCAGACATTGCCAGATGCTGGATACAGCTTATGGACCAATGGATTTCAGAGTTGATGCCATATTTCATTTGTATAATTCATTCTGTCATCATGGCTTTCAGCACTGTGGAAATAACCAGGATATCGTTGCCAGATAGCACAAAAATTGCTAAGATGAAAATAACAAATAGCTACCAATGCAAACAACATCTATTGAATAAAATATAGTAATCACACACTAGTTAGGACAACTACCTAAAGACTAACATATTTCTATATGGTTAATTAAGCCACCAACAACTATACCTGTGCATTAACAGAAATGTTACCTATAAAATCTTAGGTGTCACTAACAATTACAGTACCACTGGATTATTTTCTGACTCATGATAGAAATTGAAAGAGGTTGCAAAGTTTGGCCAAATGTGACCTGCAAAAGGTAGTTTAATCTGGTCCTGGTATGCTGTTTCTCTCATATATGTGTGTGTGTGTATTCAGATAAAAGAGATTGCAGTCACCATTCCGTAAATCATGCATTGGAACCATAAAGCACTGAATGTAAAGAACCGTACGAGTGCAGAAACAGACTTCTACACAAACACACACACAGAGAGAGAGAGAGAGAGAGAGAGAGAAGTTTGGCACTGCTTCTGCTTTTATAACATTCAGAGTTTTTGCAAACACTGGATCAGAGTTTAAAACATTGCCCAGAACTGCATCAACATAGCAGATGGCAATATATGTTTAGAATATACATAATATACCAGATGCTTCACAATAAGATATGATTAGACACCAACATGTTCTACTGGATTGCACTGAATGTTTGCATCAAATTCTTTCAGGTTAGGCTTATGGTAAAAATCTGTGACTCCCCCCACCCCGAAGTATGTCACAAATACAGCTAACCAATATTACCTGGGTCAAACTATTGTTGCATCACATAGTAAAGTAATTGAGTTCCCTGTGGCTTCCTAACTTTGCCTAACAAGCCATCAATCAAAGGAAGGTATTTAGAAGAAGACAAACTGATTGGTTGCAGTGGGATTTCTGGACATTTTAAATGATACCCAGTGAAAAATACATGAGAAAGATTTCAAACCTTGGAAAAAAATTGCCTGACAAAAGCTATGACAGATAATGCCATGATAGAAATACTACTCATTATGTCATATTTAATAACCCACTGATGCTACATTACACAGCTGTTTCTGTTACGCAGTGGTGCCAAATAAGATTTCTTATTTCTTAGCTCCTTTTTCTCCCTAATTAATGATGAATAAAATAACACCAGCAGCAGCGTGACTGTGCAGGATATGAAGACCTGGCTGTAACAGGGGAGGGGGAAGAGTGGGGGGGGGGGAGAGTCTAAACAACCAGTCTAGTAATTTCCTTAAAATTTATGCAAAGAATTCTAACTGCTTGCTCAAATTCATTAATAGAGAATCTGTTCCCACAGGTTTACATGGAGTAATTAGCAGCAAACAAATACTGGTTGAGATTTCTAATGTGCAGGTCCGGCTGTGGGATTACACACAAAGGTTTTGTAAATTTCAGAAGCTATCCTCACAGATGTCTGAGGGGGGAAAATATTCAGGCCACATACTGGATGCAGCCAGAACCCATTAAGTAGTTTAGGATTTGTTAGATTCAGATTGTCAATAAATGTTGTGGAAAAAAGTCATAAAAAACAGATAGAAAATATATATAATACAGAGAGCACATAAAAAATGTAGTTTATGCACAGCTTGTAAATCTGGAGTGGGGAGTGCGGATAATACAAGAGGGAAAGAGTAAACAGGCTAACAAGAGTTCATCAGTCTTAATAAATAGGCAGAGTCACATGGGCTTCCTTCTGGAAACAACATAGGTCCCTTAGTATCTAATTATTTTTGGGGAAAGGACTAGGGTTTTATTCCTCCATTAACTTTGTCAGTGCTACTGTGAATCATTCTTCATTAGTCAGCATTTGAAATGAGATATTCACATTTAGATAGCTATACCTTCTTACGCTCACTGAGATTTTTTTTAAAGAAGACTTGACCACACTTGGACATATATTTTCACGTGCTAAGAACTATTTTAAAACGACATTATATAGTAACAGCTTTTATTTTCAGGTTTACTGGCCAGAAAATGAAAACGGCAACACTTTAAATGGCACCCCATAAGACATAAAACTGCTAAGAAAAATGTCTGTGGATAGAAAAACAAACAGGACATGTCACTTGAATACTATGGATTTCAGTAATCAGATGTAAGTCGCTCACTGTCATATTTTGAAATGACAAACTGCTTTCCACACCATGTACAAGATTATACCAGACAGAATTCTCAGCAGCCAAACTCATGGAGGAAGAGCACTCGGGATTATGTAATTCTTTATCAGAAGGAAGTAAAAATATACAGAGGAGAGGTAATAAAAGGGAGGCATTTATTCTACTAACACTAGTATTTAAAGTACATTGCTTTTTATGGTCAGACCAACAGTGCATTAACAGTCTCTTTAACTTGGTATCTTGTGCACCAGAGATGAAGAAAACTGCTTTTATGGTACGGCAATTAAATAAATAAGCCATCCGTAATCATAGGAAATAAAGGCAAGCAAATACAGTAAAATAGGCCAGGAAATCGGCTGATTCTTCCCATTCTGGTGCTAATTATCACATGGTTTTGGTAAGTAATGCTGAGCAGACTACTAAGAAATAACAATTCTAAAACAACCCTTGAATCAAGCTGGCTTCAGCAGGCAAAAATAGGACAAAAAAATAATTCTTAACATTTAAGACAAATAATTTCTGGGGTGAGTTTGCCCTGTATGATTGCAGATGTGTTAACCATAATTGAAATGGGAAATGAGTTAGTTGCACTCCTTTGGAAAAGAACACAAAATGTAGACAGTGAACACCAGCAAAAAACAAAACAAGTTATAGCAGCACTACAAAGCAAACAGGAAGGAACAAAATGGAGAGGCAAATAGTTCAGCACCACCTTTTGTTTGAATTGCAAAGTTTGGGTGGTGATGGCAAGGAATGTGCTCTTATGGGTAGTCTGTGCTGAAACTTTCTACAACATCTAATTTTAAGACATTATTGGATCTCTCCACTGATCCTGCGCAACCACTGAAGTCAGAGCCATTGGTGTTCAAGACCATAGTCAGGATATATATATATGTATGTTTGTCATTGCCCTAATGGAATGGAACATTAGTATGCTAGGAAATACCAAATTAATTTACATTGAAAAGCAGTTCCTCTCATTATTGTGTTCCTGGCTTCCCTACTATCCTAGGGCTTTTTCAATCATTGGTTTGTTTCTTTTTAAAAAACTTAATGCTCCACAGGAGAAATTATAAGCATACACTATTAGTAATTTGCCAATTAATGATTTTAACTATCCCTCACATATGCACACGTGTACATACACACAAATCAGTAGAATATAAATATTTATGTTTGGCACATACATATTTTAAAACAGATTAAAATATTTTTGGCATTTTAAGGAAACATTTAATGCATATGAATTAATCCATGTGCCTGAAGAGATGAAGGTATAGCTGGAAACAGAATCCCTAGCACATGAGACTTCTTCAGCTGCTTTGTAAGAGGTTTAAAAGGTTTTTTTGGGGGGGGGAGTCTTCCATGATATTCCTCCCTCTAGTCAGACCTCCTTGTGTTGTGAACAAGGATTCATACCAGAAGACATACATTACTCCATCACTCTGATCCTCTACAAGAACAAAGGTGACCACCATGACTGCAGCAAATACCATGGGATCTCTCTGCTGAGTATTGTGGGGAAAGACTTTGCCCATGTGGTTCTCAACAGACTGCAGCCACTCACTGACAGGGTCTATCCTGAGCCTGAACCCTGCTTTATAAGCTCAGAGGTCAGCGGTCAACATGATCTTCTCACTGCATCAAGCTGCAGCAGAAATGGTGAGAACAGAGACACCCCTTGTACATTGCCTTCACAGACCTGACAAAGTCCATTGACCTCATCAGCCAAAAAGAACTCTTCACACTGCTCAAACACACCTAATCTCCACAAGATGTGTCCTTCCAAGAGAACATGTGTGGCACTGTGCAGTATGACGGCTCATCCAGTATGAAAAGTGGTTTTCTTGCCCCAACTCTCTTTGGCATATTCTTATCCCTGTTGCTCTCATATGGCTTCAGCGCAACTAAAGATGGTGTGGACATCCATTCAATTATATTAGCAACAATCCCCCATTCTCCCTAAGCCAGCATGTCCTGCACCTCCAAAGGTAGCTTGCAGTTCTCAGGTGCAGAGAAGGATGCTATCCTGTTGCCATTGTTGAAGTAAGATTCAGCTGCCAGTCTGCTCAGATGCTATATGTGTCTTTGCGGGGGGTTGAGGGGGTTCTATCTTGTCCCAACAAAATGCCTTGGGTAGACCCTGTATTTAGTTTATTGTAATATTGCCAGCATCATTCATTCAAACTGGTGAGGACCACACTGGGTCTTTTATGTTCCGATGTTTATACACAGTTATAAACATTGCATGCAGTAGAGAAATAATGCATGCAAACAAACTGATGCAATGTAAGTTTTCAGGTTATTTAGCAGAGCTACTAAAATACAGGGACTGGACCTTCAGCTGTAGTGTTGCAGTGGCCAATCGTTTAACATACAGTGGCCATGTCTGGACCACCACATCTTGGCTTAATAAGCAGAGATATGAACAAGTCTCATGTATCCGCATGCAGCTGCTTTGCTTCTCCTTTATAGTTGGTTATTACCTGCTGTTACATCGGAATCTATAAGCTTTCAACCATGGCTTCTTATGCTGGCTTGTTTGTGAACCATTAACCACAGTTTCCTACTTCAGACATCCTGGAAAACTGTAGTCAACTGTGGTTTGTTTGTTTCCTTGCTTGCACAAATGAGGAGCAAACCGGGTGCAACAGGCTCATTTATATTTTGGCCTATTAAGATGAGACACGATTGCCCAGACACAGCCAGTGATAAACAGCCTTGGATCTATCCACTTGTTGCCACATCAGTTGGTGAATGCATCAGTTTAAAAGGAAGAAAACAACAGAACATACACAAAGTTTTCTGTGCCAAACACCTGCCCCTGTTTTCTTGCCATGCAGACTCTCCCTCCCCTTCCTCTCTAAATACCTTGATACTGGGCAAACTAATTAATAATGCGTCAGCTCGCTCATGATTAGTTTAACTCAGAGCTGCCAAAGTGGCTCTGAGCAACAAAAGGAATTCCTTTGGGTCTTGTCATGACATCATTTTTACAATATAGCTGGTGATGGCAGAAAATGAAGCTGGTATTTATACAAGGGTATTACAGGAAGGTCCTCCCGCACCAGGTTTAAAATGACAAAATGTCAGCTTCAATCATATGCCAGGCTTTGGTCTCCCTTCTGTAACCTCTTTCTTTTTGGTTGCTTTCTTTTTATATAGGTATGACACTAACAGAAAAATAAATTGAAAAGAGCACTGAGGCAGAGTGTATTTCACGCACTGGTGCCAATGTTTCATATCTCATGAACCTCGGGAAAACAATTCATCGAACTAATTAGTTTACAGTGTTTAAGCAGCTTGTTTCCCGTCTTTAATCTTCTTTATGTAATACTGTGAACAAAGCCATATTATCTTTTGACTCCCCCCCCACACACAGTTTAACAAATATAATCTTTTTGTTTCTGAAGATTACTTCATTTAGACATCAAACTGTCTCTTTTTCTTCTCCTTTCCAGGGCAGAAGATAAACAAGGTAGCATTAATTCTGGTGCATTTCAAATGGCCTCACACATGCAAACAGTACTGAAGCTCTTTTCTTGTTAACAAATCCACCTCACTTACTTATTAAGCCTCCCCACCACCACCCAAAAAAACCCCAACAGCAACTGTTGTAATATGAAACTATGCACAACGCCACTGGAATGATGCGTCTCATGCCATAGCTGTTGCTACCACTTCAGTCAGCAACATCTCCCGCTCCCTCACTTAACCCTGACTACTAGACAGACACAAATACATGGCTGTATCTGTACACAAACACACACACACTTACTTCCTGCAGCATCTGCACAACCAGGAATGTGGCAGCTAATTTGCTAGAGATACCTGTGGGTTTGTGCCCGAATGTAAGAATGGCACATACTTCTATACCTTCACTGCTGCAACCACCACCCAAAGCACCAAGGGCGCAACATGTAAAGCTTAAATAACGAATTTCCTGTTTGGAGGGGTTATCATGGGGTGGGGGCTCTTCACTGCTATTGCTACAGCCATGAGAGCCATGGGAGAGAAAAAGAGAGGATAAACCCAACAACTTCACACATAATGCTTTTATTAGGACTACATGCTTCAATGGGAGCGGGGAGAGTTTAGAATGTATAATTAAAAAAGGCTTTTATATCATTATGTATCATAACAATAATAAAGTTAATGATAATAATAAATGATTCATAATAAGCTTAACTAAGATATTAATCATATGAAGACTGAGTTGTTAATACAGTAACTACAAAGGCCATGGCCGACAGAAGACAGATTGGAATTGCTACTTGCCCAAGAACTTCCCTCTCCCTTAATCTCTCTTGTTCATCTACTTTGCATGAGATAAGCATCTTTATAGAGAAAAATTTGTCTTGGTGATACAAGGCTTTGACAATGCCATTTCTGGATACTTATTCCTGCAATAATGATGGAATACCCAATTTAGACACTTATTTCAGGCATTTTACTCTGCATAGCATTAAAACAAAGTCCATGCTGTCAGCAGTATTTCCTGTGCTGACTTTTTGCTTGCTTTAGAACTGTTTACTGTCCCATAGTGCCTATCTCCACTAAAGTTCATTCTGTCCTTAATTGTCAGACAGATTCATGGTAACTCTTAATTAGTACAGAGCAGGTAACACAGCTGTGACTTTGTGAGCCCCAAATACTTTGGAGATCTCTGACCTAGCTTGCTCAGGTGACACTTCCACTATCCCCCAAGGTTAATGAAGGTAACGTCACACAAAAATACTAGCAAGTATGCAGACGATGTAACTGAAGATACCTGAAGTCATATAGCTACTTAGGGAATTAAGAAGTGACTGGAGAAGGCTTGCCTTTGAATGCATGAAAGGTTACAGAACTAATTATGTCAGTGATTGAATTACTACATTCTAACATTCGTTTTAGTGAAGGCTAAAATAGACATGCTAAAGAGATGTGTTTTTAAATGTTATCTAATAGAAAAATGGTAAGCAGGCTTAGTATCAGAGGAGACATGCTTACAGTCTTTGTATAAATTAAAAAATGTTGATTCCTTTAACCAGGGCAGAACGCAACACATTATTTTACAGGAGCATTCATCTCCCATGAAAGTAGGAGGATGTTGGGGACGGGGTGATGAGGAGAGCTATGACTTTCATGTAGAGGGTTCTTTATAGTCGACAAGGTGGCAGTGTGGCCAAGGGTTATCCCCATCCCTTTCTTTTTAGTCTAACCCATAAATGAGGAACTTATAGGTCTCCATAGGTTGTTGGTCTGCAACTCCCATCATGCCTGGCTGGAGATGTTGGAGGCTGGAGTTCTCAGAACATCCAAGGGCAACAAATCTCACCATCCTTATTTCAAATAAAACGACAATCACTGTTCAGTAATCCAAGCAAATTGAAAATGAGGGTTTATGGGAATGACACTATGTTTGCATGGGACCAGCCACCTTTTTTTTTTTACTAGGAACGCCCATTTTCACGTATTGTCGGGGCATTCAAGCTCTTATTTTCGAGGTAATCAACTGCCAAGCAGTCAAGTCAAGTGACAGCATAACTTTGTTTTAAGGGTGCTGGTGGACAGATTGAAACTTTATCCTTCAATTCCATCAAACATTTCTCTAAAACTCAGTTGTTTAACAGGCCTGTTTGGAGGCTTGACAGTTTCCCTGTTCCGTTGTTGAATTGCTGTTTTAAATTACAGAGCTTTAACAATGCAGTTTAATGTGTTCCAGTCTTCATCTGTATTATTTTGTTGTCTTTTGATTTTAAGATTTCCATAGGCCAGTTAGGGATGTTTACCAAAAATGCTAAGAGGCACACAATTTTTCTGCATAAATAAACTAAATAAATATCATGGTTCCTGGGTAAGTAGATGTGTTGTTTCTGGACAAACCTATTTGCTGAGAACACACCCTCCCCTTTACAAAGGGTGCACAGAGAAAGGTTGTTGGGGTGTGTGTGTGTTTTGGATTTTTAAAGTATTTTTTAAAATAAAAAAATACCCTACTTGCCATACATCCAGATTTTCTGCCTGGACGCCATTTTTGTAGCCCGATTCCTGGATGTGTCTGGTAAAACCAGCCATATGGTAGCCCCAGTATATGGAAGCCTAGCAAACAGATGTATTTTGGAAGACAAAAGACTGTTCCATAGAAAATGGTCATCTTTCAAAAGCTATTCTAAAGCAATAGAAAAAGGCCCACTTTGCGCAAGCAATTTTTACACACTGCAGTTTTCAACAAGAACATGCCACTTAGGGAAGTTCTACATCTTTGGGGTTGGATCTGAATTTGTCCTTTCACAGATGGGCTTCTTCCACTTCTGGAAGGGACTTTGATCTAGTAGAGGCTTCCAATAGAATTACTGCCAGTTCCCATTTCCCCTTACAATCCACCATGCCACCTCCCACACTGTTCGAGAAGGTGTCTCAAACTTCCAAAGCAGTTAAAATAAAAAATCAGGGGCAGGGAGGAAACAAGAGGCTGCATGAGAAATTCATTAAAATCACTTTTTAATGGTTTTAGCAGGTATTTTAAAAAGGTTGGTATGGCTGCCCTTTAAAATGATAATATGTTCAACAACTCCCTGTGAATACAGGCAAAAGCCACAAAAACAAAAACGTTATAGAGATTTACGAGCTCAGCAACCTTCCATGGAGCACCTATTCTTACACTATCACCATGCATGTTGATAATAGCAAATATAACATCAATGGGCTCTAAGACACACACACCAGGACATGCCCAAGGCTGTGCTTGTAAGTAATTCTTGGAATAGCTTCTCACCACGGTGCAACCCACATCTTAACTGTCTTCCCTCAAAAACACTGCCTACCCTTGAAGAGAATGATCGCTTTAGGGGCTGAACGACCAACTCTATTTTGTATACTTGAAAATGAAACATAATATTTCAGTTTTGTAACGGGAGTCACACAAACATTTTACCATTGTATAAATGACATAACTTGACAGACTCTCAAGGAAACCATAATCAAAGTTAATTGTAAGAAATTCAATTTCTCTTCTTTCAGGTTCATCTAAAAGAAGAGCCTTTGGATTTTCCATTTGCAGTTTGCAATTTGAATCAGAAAGGCAATCATATTATTAATTAATTAATTAATTAAATTTTCATACTGCCCTTCCGAAGATCCCAGGGTGGTTCACAACAGAAAAAAAAACAAGTTGTGAATACATAATGAAACAAAACAAAAAAAACAGTCACATGTATTTGCAACACTTTGCGAACAGATACATACACACAAATGTTATTGCTCTCACTCTCTTTCTATTTCTCTCTCTCTCTGTGTAAGGAAAAATAAGAGAATACATTTTCAGAGACGTTTACAAAATTCAGTCAGACTGATCAACTTAATATGAGTCGTATCATGAATACGAAATTGTTCCTACAGAAGCAAAAAAAAGTAATAATGAGAAACTCAATTCTTATGACAATAATCTGAAACCAGCATATGATGGAATTGGATGGATCTGTTCATCCCTAGTCCTAACACATCATCAAGTCATTCTTCAGGACCAGCATAAATCTTGGCAGACAATTTAAAGCAGCCAGGTCCATATACTGTGTAATCTGTGAAGCAAGAAAGTTGCTCATTTCTGTAACAATGGGTGAAGCCCTTCTTCTTCATAATAATGATGATGATGATGTATTTTGAACTAAAATGGTGCTAAACTCTTATGGATTGGTATCATTACCCTATTAAGCTAATCAAAACAAATTAAGTATCCTCTATAATAATTATGCCAACTTTCAGCCCAGCTGGATGGCACAAAGCTATAGCAGCTTATCTCACAGACAAGCCTGCTTATGATGCTTTCAAAAGCAGAGCTTCTCACCCCAGCACAGTACAAACAAGCCACTCAGTAATGAGCCAATCACTCAGCATGGTGCAAGCAAAAATAAGACACTACTGTAGTGCTCACACAACAGTCCAAAAGAGCAACGTGTAAATCTGTACATAAGCAGTTATTTGCCTCTTGGACCTCATTATAGTTTCTCTGGTTTTATTCTGATAAAATATGAAATGATGCCCCCCTTTTATATATCTTTTATATATAATTTTAGGCGCAGTTAGTTGTAAACCATTTTGCATAGATGTTTTCTTGGGGGAAAAGAATATACGGTACTATTACCTAAACAAAGGCTTCTAATTTCAGGTAATTTCAGGTAATTTCAGGTAAATGCAGCTACCAGGCAGTATTTTTTTTTTTATTTTGTAAGTTGCTTCAGAACTTCCTTTGGCTGTGGGAAGTGATGAACTGATTTATACCCTAATTAAACTATGTTTTATATCCCATGCCAGTTTATTCAAATAAATTATAAAGACTTATATTATTCCTTAATATCTTTAATTATATTTCTACTATATGGAATGACTGCAAAATTTGAAATGAAAAAAATATGGAAAATCAATGACTACCCAAGTGAACTTGCTTCATTTACAGGACAAAGATATTATTTTCCTAACTACTAGCTCTGCAAACTCAGCATGGCTTCTAAAAGTCAAGCTGTGCTCTTTTGAGGTCACCCATCTTCACCAATGAAAACATTCTGAAAATATAAAATGTGTAACAAGGATACAATCATCATTGTTGAGATCCTTTCGGAGCCTACCAAAATGAATTTGAAACCCAGCAGAAAAATATCACAACTCCATGCAACAAGGGCATAGAGCTCACCATGTGGTAAATTAATAAAGTACCTAACTATTTGTTAATTACATCCTTCCAGCACTCATCATCCCAAGTACCTCTACTTTCTGACAAGTATCATCTCACAATATGGAAAAAGGAAGATTTCATGATCACTATAATCAGTATTTGCTAACAACAGAAACAAAAAGCACCTTGGTAAGTATTCTTACTTGAAACTATCTTTGTGGAGAGAATTTTAATAAATGTACACAAAGCACTGAAGACTCTTTGTCTGTTTTAAAGATCATTATAACCTCAGGTCCAACACAGGAACCTTTTGGCTTTTTAAAATGAGTATTTCATACGTTCTTCTCCCAAGACAAGACTTTACTCCACGAGAAGAAAGATGTGTCATTTCAAGTGAATACAAATTACAATAAGGTCAGTCCTTCAAGTCTCACTTTTCTCAGGAAGAAAGGCTTCACTTTAGCAAATGCCTACAGCTTTGCTACAAAGATGAAGGCAACCATAGATAAAGAGAAGGGCAAAAATTAGAAATCTGCCTGCCAGCAGAGAACAGAAATATGCTCAAGAATTTGTAACCAACTTCTTATTATTTTAGACAGAATTATTGTTTTACAACCAAATACAGTTGCAAAGTGACAAAGGCTTATAAAAGTTGTTTTCCCCCTTTTTCTTGATGTCTACTCTATCTACAGAGATGTAGTGTAAGATGAATTACTGATAAGAAAAACAATTAAAGGTTTCAGCAGCAAACTAGGAAAGGGTAAATGGAGTCTCGACTCCTACAGCAACTTTCATTTTCCTGCTTTAACACACATTTTATCCATACCACTCCATTTTGTTATTCACATACTTATAACATGATTTAAACACTGTCAAGTATAGCACAATTTCCCAGCATTTTAAGCATTACTTCTTGTGAGCTAATAATCTCCAAGTCTGTATTTGACAATCTAATTTGCTTGCTTTATTTTCAAGACTTTCCCAGCACGACTAAGAATCTTGAAACATGTAAGCTTCTGAATCTTGTAAGCTTATGAAAGCTAGTACTGTCTTTCTCAGCCTAGAGGACGCACTTTTTCCCCTCCAAAAATTAAGGGGAAATGTGTGTGCGTCGTATGGGGCGAATGCAGGCTTTCCCTGAAGCCTGGAGAGCAAGAGGCATCGGTGCGCACCAACCCCTCTCGCTCTCCAGGCTTCAGGAAGCTATCCGCAAGCCTTGCGAGCCCGGGGGAGTTCCCGCAGGCGTGCGAGGCTTGGGGCGGCAGCCTCCATCCTGAAGCACGGGGTGCCCTCCGGAGGACACCCCGTGCTTCGGGAAGGTGTCCGCAAGCCTCCCGTGCCCGGCGGGAGGTCCCGCCAGTCGCGAGAGGCTTGGGGCGGCAGCCTGCAGCCCGAAGCATGGGGTGCCCTCCGGAGGACGCCCCGTGCTTCGGGAAGGTGTCCGCAAGCCTCCCGCGCCCGGCGGGAGGTCCCGCCAGGCACGAGAGGCTTGGGGCGGCAGCCTGCAGCCCGAAGCATGGGGTGCCCTCTGGAGGATACCCCGTGCTTCGGGAAGGTGTCCGCAAACCTTGAGCGCCCGGCAGGAGGTCCCGCCGGGCTCGCAAGGCTTGCAGACAGCAGCCTCTTCTGGGGGCTGGGGTCGGGGGAAGCTCGGGCTTTCCCCGCGCCAGCCCCGTGCCTGGGGGGGGGAAATAATTTTTTCCCCCTTTATTTCGCCCCCCCCAAAAAAACTAGGTGCGTCCTATGGGGCGGTGCATCCTATGGGGCGAAAAATACGGCAATTTTACAACATGACCCAGGTCAAAGCTAAGGCAGACCCACAGAAGGCAGTTGGGGAAGGCCCAGGCACCAGGCATGCTGTTCCACTGGCACTCAGATCCAATTCCTGAGGACTGCAGATACCTATAGTCTTTTCTCCATTGTTCCAAGCATGCAGCTGCTTAGTTATGCCTTCTAACAGGGTATGATGAAACCTGTGCTGGAACCATCACAAACAGGTTACTTATGCAAAGAAAACTCAGGGTCCCTCTACACCTAGGCCACTGCTTGGCGAGAGCACAAGGTATATTTTACCAGATATAAGATCCTGAAAACACAGAACAGTTCAGTATGATCAGTTGTTCAGGTGCCTCTTGCTAGCCTCTGGTAATGGTTATGAGTCAGTCCTTCAAGGTGGATACTATTCCACATATTTTATAGTCCTAGCCAAAAGCTTACTCCATGAAACCACCTGCACAAGAGCTTGGCCTATAAAATTCAAGGCACCATCCCACTGAAGTTTGGCCAGTTCTGTGTGCTGCATAAGACACACAGACATTTCTCTACATCCCATGGAAAACCATGGGAGCTGTTGGTCTGATCTTCAATCATAAAATGTTACTTTGCTTACAGGATCATTGAAAAGATTTATTCCTTCGGTATCTACAACAACCTTCAGTTATATTTGCATATGAAAAGAAATAACAGCTTGGCAGTTAACTGCTACAGGTATTTTTCATTAACCTTAATTGCTTATTCTATCAGTTTGTTTTTCTATGCCTGCTACTTAAAATAACTTAAAATTAAAAAAAAAAAATAAAGTACGACACATGTGCCTGTTTTCAGCCATCTCTTGCGCAATACCTGACATATTTTCACCCTACAGCTCTGGCTGTCCTCTTTTGTAACTAACAGAAATGGACAGAAGATGAGAAATTACAAACCCCAGAACTGATGTGCACGACTGGGTTAAAATTTCTTTGGCAGAACTCTTCATCCAGCTCTGCTGAGTGAATATTGAGTGGTGACTAAACCAGAACCTAAATGCTCCCCAACCTAAATACACTTTTATCTTTCCTGCAAATTTCCTTCCCTCTTGTGCCAGAATAAACCATGTTTATTGTAAGTCTTATTGCAACAGTGGGGGAAACAAGACTATGGGTGCCCTAAGGTGGAAATATTACCAACCTGGCTGCATCAATCTTCTGTGTAAAGAACAACACACAGATCACAAAGCAAATAAATCCTGCAGACTATGTTGGGGAGACTAAGCAAACCAAATAAGGTCAGTGTTTTAGTACTGCCTTGTTTTGAAGTCATTATGCAAGGGATATTTTCCCCAGTGAAACTGCACTAATCAATACAGTGACTCAGCACTGTGGCAGTCTATTTAATAGAGACTTGTGTTTTTTCCCTCAAAATGCCATACTTGAGCAGCTGATCCACTGCAAGAACGATCAGCACATGCTGTCTTTATCTACTGCCTGTATCAGCTAAGAAATGTGTACAGTGGTACCTCTGGTTACAAACGCTTCAGGTTATGAACTCCGCTTACCTGGAAGTAGCTGCTCCTGGTTGTGAACTTTGCCCCAGGATGCGAACAGAAATCGTGCGCCGGAGTGGGAGGCCCCATTAGCAAAAGCACACCTCAGGATAAGAACGGTTTCAGGTTAAGAACGGACCTCCGGAACGAATTAAGTTCATAACCAGAGGTACCACTGTATCCCTACATTGTGAGATCTTTTGTTTGTTTAGATTCTTTGGGAAAGAGCAAAGTGTTGTCCAGAACAAGGACAGACAAGAAGTGGAGAGAACGGATGCTGAAATTTGTGTATTTTACTTTTCATTTTCCAGCTATGCCTTACACAAATATAATTCATGCTTTCTTCCCTACATTTTATTACCTCTCCAACTAACATATTACCACTGTAATATGTTTTAAAAAACAAAACTTAGCATTCTGTGATGTGGTAAATCACTCATGGTCTGAATAATTTTGGGAGCATTTTCAAACATTTAACCAACTAAACTAAAAAGAGAGAAAAGAATCACGGAGTGATGTAAATTATGAAGGAATAGTTTCATCCATTTAATCCTACTGAAAGAATGAAGCTGTTTAAAGAATCACAAAGGCCTTTCCTTTAAAGCCTAAGAGCCGAGCATGCATTTCATACTTCTCTGTGACAGCTGATATTTCAACACATTTTATAGGCACGTAAGAACTTAAGAAAAGCCTGTTGAATCAGGCCAAAGGCCCACCTGGTCCTGCATCCTTTTCTCACAGTGACCAACCAGGTGGCTTTGGGAATTCTGCAAACACGACCTGAGAACCTGAACCCTTCTGCAGTTTCCAACAAGGCCCAATAGGTGCAGCCAGCAAGGAACATCGGAAGCTGCCTTAAAACAGTGTCGCATAGTTCAGCGTTATCTACTGGGGGTTTAGCCACACATTGACTTTTGCCCTGCCCTGCCCAGGCAGAGGTCTGAGCTAAAATGCTCCACGTCCAAGCAATTTTATTTTATTTTTCATATATTTGTTGCCCTGAGCTTTCCCCTGCTCTTTAAAGCTGAATTGGAGAAAACGTCAATTTGGGTTTTCCATGGGTTGATGTTCACTCTGATTCAGAAAAGTAAGTATGGATAAGCCCTGACAGTGGCTTTCCAGTGTTTCAGGCAGGAAGTCTTTCAAAGTCCGACCTTAAGATGTTGAGGGTGAAACTTGGGACCTTCTACACTCAAAGCAAATGCTCTACCGCATACCTGTAGTATGAACTGACTATGGACTGTGAAACAAGGTCCAGCATCTTTCATGCCTCGTTTTACACAGGAGTTTCAGACCCACAGATTTTCCTCAACAGATTACCTGCAGGATACCTGGCATGGAGAAAACGTTTGAAAACTGCTTTTATATGACAGCAGTTTACAGCACAACACTGTTCTTGTAGATGTGTTTGTTATTAGTGCATTACGGCAGTATAACGGGAAAATGGATTTATGGTAAGCAAAGCTACTTATTAACTCTACATCTTATTTGCATACTATCAGCGAATACATTCACTAAAATGTAATATTACTAAATATTACTAAAATTTGTGATATTCCATCCATAACCAACAGCATCAGTTAATACACACACACACACACACACACACACACACACACACAGTGGTACCTCGGGTTACAGACGCTTCAGGTTACAGACACTCCAGGTTACAGACTCCACTAACCCAGAAACAGTACCTCGGGTTAAGAACTTTGATTCAGGATGAGAACAGAAATCGTGCTCTGGCGGCGCAGCGGGAGGCCCCATTACCTAAAGTAGTACCTCAGGTTAAGAACAGCTTCAGGTTAAGAATGGACCTCCAGAGCAAATTAAGTTCTTAACCCGGGGTACCACTCTGTGTGTGTGTGTGTGTGTGTGTGTGTGTGTGTGTGTGTATGAGAGAATAAAATACACTTTTTGCAAAATGGTTGAGCTATTGTGACAAGTTTTTGTAATACTGCTGCTTTCATACACATACTGAAGGATAGGCTCCCACCAATTTATGCAATAAATCAGGAGCATAATGGCTCGATCAGCGCAATTTGTTTCACCTGCTTCTGCATCCCTATGACTTTTATGACAGACCAAAAGTTGGCTAGTGTACTGAAACAACATTTTAATGTCTCTGCAATAAGCGATCTGCTTACCAGTCAGCAATAATGCAGCATCAGATGCTTCCAGACTCTTCACTGGGTCTCAGTAAGTAGCCTTTACATTGAACAAGAGAAATCAGGACTCTCCCAAAACAGGACTCACCCCTCTGGCCTGCAATTCATCCTCCTAATCCCAGATAGGTGCAACATGACTGTTCAGTGATGAAGGACAGGCACTTTCTCTTGGGTCACTGGGATACAAGTTCCAAGCCTAGTACTGAGAACTAGTTCTAGGCTAAGCAGGGAAATAAACGCATTGAAAAGGCCTTTTGGCAACAGGTGGCTCTCATCAGCAAGGCTAACTACAAACAGCTTTAATTACAACACATTAAATCATCTCAACAATAGTCTAATATGGCGAGGTCTGTCTCAAACTGCTTACTAGCAGTAGCCTAACACTTTACTCCATATTGTTGAGAACTGGAAGTAGTGAAAAAGAAAAAAAAAACAATATGATCTTGACACAAAAGAGTTGCTCATGTTACAAAAAAGCAGCTGAATCTTGTATTTACAAGAGGTCTTTGGACAGCATATAGCTATTACTGTTGAACAATGGGCACATATGTCTGCAGATTTTAAAAAAGAGAGAGAGAGGAAAGACTATCAGCCTTCGTTGTATTAAAAAAAACCACATTCAGAATTCCTTTCTAACAAACACCCGTAGAAATACTTGATGAATGGGCCCTGAGAGAGCACTTCTCATTGCCCTAGCATGGAATGGCTTATAGGCATACAACACTCCATCAATATAGAGAGCTGGCAGAATGAGAGGCAGGAAGGATGCTCTCAGACGGCATGCATCTGCTTACTAATCGCATGGAGTGCCTCGATTCTCTCCCCTCATTCATCGCCTGAAGAAAGTTCACCATATAGGAACACACCATCAACAGATGGCCCCTGGCTAACGGATTACTCAAGAGCAGCTTGTTAATTTACCCCAAATAAGCAGAATTACTGTCTTCCATTTGAATCCAAAATCCAGATCTGGGGTAGCAGATTAGGGTGCTAATACATTTACAAGCTTCTTCTTTTTTTTAAAGTTTGATTTTTTTTAAAAAAAGTTACTGCATACACTTCCACAGCATAAGTGAGGCATTTTCTATTTATCTATGTTTTGGAGATAAATGCTACATGAAGTGGATTTTGAGTCATATGCTAATTAAATCATTTACCTCCTACCTCTGTTTTCCCCTCCAGGAATCTTTTGCATTGTACGTTTTAATTTAAAGAATTAAACTTTTATCACCTTTTCCTTATGGCTGTTTAAAAGTAAGAGCACCTTGCACCATTCTACTCTCATAAACCATGTAAAATATCCATTAAAACCTAATAAGCATATAAAAATAATGTAGCTCATACTGTAATATTTGAAGTTTTCTAGCAGCTGAAAGCATCATTAACTTGAAGGTGTCCGTTTTCTTGAAAACCACATTTAAATTCAGAATTGTGCTTACTAAAGTTCTCTTAATACCAAGGTTAAAAAAGGGAGGGTGTTTTTTGTTTGTTTGTTTTAAGTAGATTATGTGGACATCCACTTTAAACTTTTGCCATCTTTTTAACAACACTGTACGCACCCAGTGATGTTTTAGATACATTTATAAACACACACACACACACACACAATGCGTATAGTCAGTTTATACATCTAAAAAGTGGCAACAATTTGCATTGTTCTCTATTGGGAATTTGCACAAACTCCTCAACTTACTGAATGTTATTTAAAAAGATCTGAGAAATAACATTGTCAATGAAATTAATATACTTTTCAAGGAGTCAATATAGATCTGAAATAAATGGTCTGTTTATAAACTTTTGATCCATACACCTTTTTAAACTACTATGGAATGCTGTGGAGATCTCAAACTTAAACCTAACTTTGTAGAAGTACGTTAAAAGCTATTTTTTTCATAAAATAAAAAAGTATTTAAGAAAAGGTTTGTAAATCAAATCACACCAGAAGAGCAGGTAAGGAAAGAGACACATTCAGAAGTGAAGAACAACATCCCATACTGAAACTCAAGAGTGAACTTCAAGTCGTCATTCTTCTAAAGGCAACTCAACCATTGTTGGCATGGAGGGAAGGCTTCCCTCTTTCACACCTACTCATGGAAACCCCTTAATTGAAGTAGATACATTGCTTACCTGAAAATTCAGCAAGCTGCACTTGTTGATTTGGTGAGACTGGCCATTGCTTCATCTCTTACAACATGTGGGCAACACATAGTCCTCTGAAGCCTTTCATGTCTGCACAGGTACCCAAGCCACACAAACATAGCCTCTCCTTCTGTCAAACTTTTGGCAACTGTAAAGGGGAAGAAGGCTTGTGGGAGAGAGAACCCTGTATGCCTTCTACCCCATACATGTGGTAGTCCATCAGGCAGTATAATTTATCCCTTCTGTGGTCCACCCTTCACCCTAGCTGGGAACAGCTAGTATCATGCTGGGTGTCACAGGCGAAATCCCTGCTTTCAAAGCGTTTTCCTCATCCTGCATTCATAAAGCACTAATTTTTCATGTGCACTATAAAATGAAAGCAATATTAACAAGCTGTAAATGTTTATCACCTTTACTCATCTCCTATTAATCAGAGGAAACATGCAAAAACTAAAGCAGGCTTTAGCTAGATGCTTCTGCTTGGTTGTTGTGTTTTGTTTTAATCTGATGGCATTCTGACACATCTAGTCTGGTAGTGTTGCAGAATTCTTTGACATCCAGTCAGCTGTGCCTAAAGGTGCCATTATTTTAAAAGGCAGAAATTTAAATTACAGCCATTGAAACTTTTGCCAAAAAGACATTAACTTCCTGTTAGTTCAGGCTTTAGCATTTGAATGGTTCTAGACTTAATAAAAACCACTCTTAGGCAATCCTGATGGAAAGCCATCAGAGCTATTTTTCATGCTTATGGAATTAATGTTGAGAACTATTTTCTTTCTCCCCTGGTAGAGTGAAACAGCTGCTCAAAGAAAAAGAAAAAGAAAAAGAACTTCAATACAAGCAATGGGATGTGTGTGTCATGTTGCCAATATGGCTTGTTCTTACTCTCAATGGTATCCATTGTATAAAAAGTGGTTTGGTTTGGAAATAATATCTTACAGCTCTTCTTTAAGGGCTTTACAGCTCTGGGCTCACATTAGTCCCTTTTTGGAAGGGAAATTCATTAACTCACCTGCTGTTTTATGATGTCTCCGATGAAGTTCTACTATTACTGGCTTTTGTTATTTTAATTATTGTTGTTTACTGTTTTAATAATTTAATGCAATAATGTTATTGTTTTACAGTGCATTGCTGTATTGTGATATATTGTATTTTTATGGTAATCTACTCTGGCAATTATTTTTAATAGAAAAGGGGGTTTGAATATTTTAAGTAGATTTTTAAAAACCCACTTGTTAAATAAGCCTTTGCATTTGTGGGTCTGGTGAATTCGAGATTCATTAGGTATAAACTTGTTCTTTATACAAACCATCCTATGAGTGGATATCTTTCTACCGTTCTACAGTCTCTTCTCAACATGTCTGCTCTACCAACAGACATATTTGGTGATGCAGTAGCACAGGCCCAATGGGTTTGGCAGTAATAAACACCTCCTTTACCAAGGTTTTCATGCCTTTGATCTGGAAAGAGACAGCGATATAGTGCCTGATCGTGGAAATGGAAATCTACTTGGGTAGTGATCACTTTGGTTTTTAATATTCTCATTGGGTATGTGCTTAAGTTCTAGTAATGTAGCTCCAGAGCTTTGGATGAAAGTAAAGATTGAAATCCCTTCTACACTGGACTTCAGCCTAGTTTCAGCATGGAAACTGCCTTGGTCATCCTAGTGGATGATCTACAAAATGAATAAGAGGGTGTGTAGGCTCCTGGCAGGGTTTGACACCATTGGCCTTTGGAGTCACCTTGAAGTGATGGAAACTGGGGCCATGGTGTTGAAATGGATCTGTTTATTCCAGGGATTTCTTACCACACAGAAGGTAGTATTGGGAGACTGCTCTTCTTCCCTATGGCATGTCACCAAGGGAGTTTCATTAGGTTCCACCTTATCCCACTGAGCTATTTAACACTGAACCTGCTGGGGAAGGTCAAATGGAAATTTGGTTCCTAAAGTCAT